GCCTATATTTTATTATGGTTGTTTGGGTTTTGTTTTTTTTACATTCAGCCCTTGACTTTCTGTAGGTGAATGATACATAGTTTAAGGATCTAACTGTATTTAATCAGTGGTTCAGGGTTACCGTAGTAACTGCAGAGAGACAGGTGGTAGGCCATCTAAGGTGCACTGATGGGACAGGGAAGGGATTAGGGTACATACTCTTCTAGCCCCCAGCCTGGAATTGAGAAGAGAGGTACTGGCTGGCAAGTGTCACCTTAGGCTCTGAAGAATATCCCCCACACTGCCCAGTAGACACTCCCTGTGGGTTTTGGGCCTTGGTAAGAGATCTGATGCAGTGGATCTCATCCCTGGTTCTCTGGAATCTGCTTTGGGCAGGCCAGCCATTGGTAGGCACTGCCTGGGCCTTGTCTGTCCTTCAGAGAGAACGTAATTGCCAGCCTAGGTAGCCCATCTCTTGGGATTTGGAGACTTTGATTCTATAGCTTGGGTTTTAGATGTGAACTTGGGTTGCTGGAATGGTAGACCTTCCTTTCTATGAGGCACTATGGACATTCATTCAAGTCCCCTTTCTTGGGAGGGGCCTTACCTATTACCAACATTGCCACCCATGGGTGATCCAGCTGGCTCTTAACTCACATTGCCTGACTCCACCTCTCTTACTCATAGCTTTGCCCAGTCCCATTTCCTTGACCTGGATTCATTTTCTCTCAGAAAAGCCACTTCTTTTTTCCTTTAAGGGATTATCTTAGAGCCTCATCCTTCCCCTTGTTCCTTTCCTGTTGGTCAGCTTCTTCCACCCAAGTGTGACCCCCTGGTGTCCACAGCCCCACCTTCACTGCACAGCTTGACTTGCTTCTTTATCGGAGAAGCTGAGTACATGGCTCCTCCCCTTTTGCTTCTGAGCTGCATTTTCTTTCTTACTCAGTCAGTGTCCACACCCAGGGTGGGTGCCTGGATAAAAAGTCTGCCCCTTTCCCCAATCACCTTCTCAGGCCAGCAAGGAATGGCCATCTTCCCAGACCCAGTTAGATGTTTCTCTCCTCACGGTGGCCTGAGGCAGAACAGTTTCCTCTGAGGTCACTGAGCTCCTGGATCCAAGTCCAAGTCTCACTCATCGACTGAGCTTGTTTATGGAACAGCACTAAGCAAAGTTAATGATTATCTGTCTTTACTAAGGAGGGGAGTAATTGTTCACTCCCCATCTTCATCCACTTCTCTAAGGCTTTCAGGGACTCAACCCCACATTCATAGAACTTGTCCAGGCCGGGCTGGCCCAGACAAAGAAGAGGACCAGACCACTCCTCAGTTTGGCAGCTTGGTGACTGACTTTCAATAAGATAGCTTCTCTTGGGAGGTCACCCAGGTGATCTTAACTCTTCCATCTGTGACATTGTGTCACCTTGAGTGGGAAGGTGGAACCCAATTGTTCCTGGTTAGTGGGTTCTGGAGAAGTCCTCAGATCACTGGGGGTGAGGGTAGAAGGGAGATGAAGACTGCTGTAGGGAGCCCACTTCACTGATGACTGGGGTGGGTGCCCTGTAGGGTACACCTCTGTTAAAGTAACTCAGAATCCTGTTTATCATTCTGATGGGCTTGTCAGGAATCAGGTTCAGTTGACAAACCCAGCCCTTAAACCTAAAATGAGCATTTCAGAGTCCTTAGGGAGCTTGGTATAGTCTATCATCTATTGTACTGCATCCAGCATGATGTCGGAATGCAAAACTAACCTCCTTCAGTATGCCTATGGCCATGCATTCTTTCCAGTCACCATTTACTCCACTCTGGCTTACCAAAGGTCACCTGCCTTGGCTAAAGGATGTCTAGCCCAGTGCCTGACACATTAGGTGTCCAGTAGTTGTTAAATGAATGTTGCCTAGTGTGTCCCTGAGTGTAGCAGTCTTCTGTCTCTTCCTCTTCTCCCCACAGCTGACTCTCCCTGTGGTCTTGTTTTAATTACAAAAGGTGAAAACATCCCTAAAATCAAAAGCAACTAGGCCTGAAGGGTTGGCATCTTCTGGGATCTAGTGTGAATACCATATAGCTTCACACCTTTTCCCCCACTTCACACTTGGAAAGGGTCAAGAAAGTAATTTTCATATAGCTCTTGGAGTATGTACCACTTGGAGAGAAGGGAGGGGATAGGAAGATAGTGTCACCAAGGAAATGTCTCTGGTAGCTTATTAAAAAATCTAGGGGACATCGCTAGCTAGCAAAAATGAGGCTGTGAGGTCAAGCTCCAATACTGCCAAAACAAAAACAAGGGTGGGTGTTGGGGGCATGGTGGAGAAGTGACCCAAACAATGTATGCACATGTGAATAAATGAATTAAAAACAAAACAACAAAAAAGCCTGGGGACAGCCAGGCACCTATGGCTCATGCCTGTACTCCTGGCTACTCAGAAGCCAGAGATGAGGAAGATTGTGGTTTGAAGGCACCCTGGGCAAATAGTTCGAGAGACCCTATCTCAAAAAAATTCCACCACTAAAAAGGGCTGGTATAATGGCTCAAGGTGTAGGCCCTGAGTTCAAACCCCAATACCAAAAACCCCACAAAAACTGGGGGACATAGTGTGATTTGAACTGGACATTGAAGTGCACAAGATGGAAAGAAGATTGAAACCAGTACACTTGAGAAAGTGTACGGTGGTCAATGGCCCAGGTTTCCTCCTGCCCCAGAGGTCCAAAGCGCCTAGAAACCATGAAGAGACTTTAAGAACAACTTTGGAGACGCCTGGCCTTGGAATCACTCCCCAAATCTGCTAAGCCTTCTGCTGAAACATCAAGAAGACTTCTCTTCCCTTTGAGTGAATATACTCCCCTGGCTCCACCCCCTTGGAACAGGAAGTGGGGCTGAAATGTTTAAACAGCTCTCCTAGGCATTCCTCTCTACTTTTATGCCTCCCTCTTACAGGGGTCTCCCACCTCACACTACCCATTGCCCAACTGAGGGAAACCTTGGTTGATGAGAAATTCTGTTAGGCCATTTTCAGCTCCCGTAGGTGACAATGGGCCTCCTTTCTAAACCCTTGTTTTGGCCTAACATTCCCTGGCTGCTGTCCCCAGTGTGACCCAAATAAACATGGGAAGCCAGTAAGGCTGTTTAAATAGCAAGCATCTCCACTAAGCTATGGAACAGATAGGGTATTGGGGGCAAGGGAGAGGCCAGCATTCAAATTTGTATTCACCTCATTTTCCCAGCTTCTTCATCCCTGAAGGAATAGATGGCTTTGAAATAATACTTCTCAGAGAGGTGCCTACTTAATGGTACAGAGTTGGTCCCTGACAAGAAGAGTCAGAAAGCCTGGCCCGGTGGCTCGTGGCTGTAATCTTAGCTACTTGGAAGAGCTCAGGAGGATCCCAGTTGAAAGCCAGCCCAGGTGAATTGTTCCAGAGACCTTACCTCAAAAATACCCAACACAAACTAGATGCCGGTAGCTCATGCTTATAATCTTAGCTACTCAGGAGGTAGAGTTCAGGAGGATTGCAGTTTGAAGCCAGCCCGGGCAAATAGTTTGTGCGATCCCATCTGGAAAAAAAACCCATCACAAAAGGCTGGTAGAGTGGCTCAAGGTGACGGCCCTGAGTTCAAAACCCCAGTTCCACACACACAAAAAATACACAACACAAAACAGGGCTGGCAGAGTGGCTCAAGTGGTAGAGCACCTGCCTAGCAAGCATGAGACCCTCAGTTTAAACACTAGTACTGCCAAAAAGAAAAAAGACTTCATCTTCTAGAAAAGATGTTAGGTCTGTATAAGTGCCATGACCACCTGAGGAGCGCAGAGGACACTGTCGCTAGAGGCTCTCTGAGCTAAGTGGTTCTATGCTAACTCCAAGCAAAATAAGAACTTGGTCAATAGCATCATCTCAGATCACTATGCTGTCTAGTGTTTGGCCCCCTACATCCCGCCTCAATATTGCCTTGGAATTTCCCATTTTCTCTACTTGTGCAGAGTGGGCCAGGCCTAACCACACCTGCCAAACAGATGGCAAACTAAAGAAAGCATTGTCAGGGCCAGCACTGATCTAGCCTGGCTAGGAAAAAGGCACTCATCCTGTGGAGAAGTACTGGGCTGTTGTGTTCTAATCTCCCTTTGCACCAGTGTTGTCATAAGCAGTGACAAACTGTGTGTGATGACCTCTTCATTCTTAGCTCCAGATGCTGGGGCATTAAATATGCCAAGATTTTCTTTCCCTGGGATGCATTATGATGTCTACAAAGGAAAGGAGTAAAACCAGCAAGTATTGTTTACACTAGCTTTCCATGCTCTTGGCTCTTCAGCTAGTCCCCAAAATCTGCACACATACACCTCTGAGGACACAGTGTGGACGGGATGGATTATCAGGGTGGCTTACTTCAGCGCCCTCATAAAGGTTTGCCTGATGGCATTTTGTGACGAAGCCCAGGCTCCAGAATACTGAAACCACTGGCATGCCCCTACTCTACTTTAACTGGTTAAGCAAGGAATTTGAAACAGTAATTGAGGTTATGTCCTTTGCCTAGCATTGGGACAGCAGAAATGGATAAGCTCTAGGATGCCCCAAATATGCCTTCAGCTGAAGGGTATCTCTCACTACCAACTGCACTAGTGGGGGTTGTGTGGCCTCCATCAAAAATAAAAAGTACTGTGGGGTTAGGCTTCAGGCAAAGGAAATTTCTGTTGTCCCAATCACAATGTGTCAAGTGTTCAGACCCTTTCCTGACAAACAGTTTGATTGATAGTCCTTGGTTTTTGTTTGTTTGTTTGTTTGTTTTTTTAATTGAGGGTCTTGCCTTAGAATTGGCTTCAAAGAGTGGCCGGTGGGGTCGTGGATAAATGCTCTTCCTCAGGGGGCAAGGAGCAGCTGGAATACTGAGTGATCCTAAACAAGTCCCTTCCTATCTCTGCGCTTTAGTTTCTTCATCTAAACTGAGAGGATTTGGGCATGCTGACCTCAAAGGTCTAACTTTCTGATTGTACCCAGGGCGCCCTTAAGCACTGGAGCCAGGAAGAGGAGAGAAGGGCGCACCTCCGGGAGAGCGCGGTTCAGTCCAGACGCAATGACCCCGCCCCGCGCCCCGCCTGCGGCCTCTGTGGCCCAGCGGCCAGGAAGGCCGGGCTTCCGCCCTCCACGTTGTTGTTCCCGACTCGGACCACGCCCCCTTGGTCTGGGTAGTGGACGTTTCGCTTTGACCGCCGTCCTCCTGGCCCCAGAGCAAAGGTGGCTTCTTGCAGTAGCAGAATGGTAGCACCAGACACGCGTGGACAAAGACAAGACTTTAGAGGAAGAGAAAGACTTGCTCTTAAATAGGTTGGTGCTAAGTAAGAGGGTAGGTTAGGGCACGATTGCGAAATTTCCCTTTAGTTGTCTCACTCTATGTTCAATCCAGGGGCCCCCTCCGCACGCTCTAATGTGACCCTGCAGACACTGGCCCTTTAAGCACAAGACTGGCGGTGCGGGGTGTCCATGTGGAGCTGCTCCATGCCGTGTTGTTCTGCCCACCCATTGGCCTGCGGCCGGGTGACGTAGTCTAATAGGATGCGAACGCACTGCGGGGGGAGGAACGGAGACAAAACAAGGAACCGGATCGTCCCTTCACTCCCTCCGCCTTGTTCCGCTGCCATTAGCTCCGCCCAGGAGCGGATCCCGGGGGAATTGCAACAGCCGGGTAGTTACGGGATTTAGGTCGCGTGTGGGTGGGGATAGAGATCTAGGAGGTCAGGCCGTAGGTTTCCCTAACCTGGGAGACTTATTTCAGCTAACCTAAGTCTTTAATTTTCCATTATTCCTACCCTTCAGCAGGACAGATTTCGTCGTGAATGACCCGAGCACGCACCCCTTGCTCAACTTGTGGCTGGCAACCGGGGCGGAGCGAGGAGAAAAAGCGGAAATACAGTTCGCAAACCCAGCTTCATCTTCTCTTACCCCCCCGCCTCAGGACACGTGTGCGCGCGCCGTCTATAGTGGGCGGGACCAGCCCGCGCGCGACCCCGCCCTCCCTTCGTGAGACGCCGCGGCCCTGCGGGCGGGGGCTCCGGTCCGGGCTTTGGCTGCGGCCCCGGTGTAGTAGCGGGGGCGGCGGCCGGGGGCAGCGCGGCTCCTTCCCTTGTTGTGTGTGTCGGTGCCTCCTCGCCATCTTGTTGCAAAGCCTTTTCTTGTCGGCGGGACTCCCGAGGGCCGCGGGGCGGGAGGCATCAGAAAGGAGGAAGAGAGGGAGGGGAAGGAGGGAGGCAGTGCCGCCTTTTTTTTTTTTTTTTTTGCATCAAAAATTTTCAATTTGCAAATTTACATTTTGCAAATATTTTGGGAGACATTGATTTTTCTCCCTGTGCTCCCCCGTTCTTTCCTGAGGAGTGCGCTGCGCCGCCCAGCCCTGTCGCCCCCCGGAGGTGATCCCTTCCTCCTGCCCGCCCGCCAGCCTGACCTGTTCCTGGCTCGCGGGCCGCAGACTTGGCCCCGGCGCGCCCCCGGCCGCTCTCGGCGCGATGAGCATAGAGACGCTACTGGAGGCGGCCCGCTTCCTGGAATGGCAAGCGCAGCAACAACAGAGAGCACGTGGTGAGCGGCCGGGCTGGGCCCCTGGGGCACCGGGTAAGGGGAGGCAAGTGACCCGGGTCCCGGAACCCATGCAAAACCGCAAGCAGGCCCCTCTTGTGGGTGGCATGAGAAGCTGGTCAGCGCACCGTTCTCCGCAGGAGCCGCCGCCCGGGAGGAGTGATGTGGGCAGTGAAAATAATTAATGAATTCATTAACATGCAGCGAGAGACTGGGCTCCTGCGGGCGCCACCCCAGCTGCCTGGCACCCTGGTGTACCCTCCGTGGGGGCCTTTTTTCGCATGGGCCGGCGGCTCCCTCCATACCACTGAGGATGTGTGAGCTGGGGGTGGGGTGAGGGATGGTGTTGCGTGGGGGTGGCAGATCCGCGTGTGCGTGCGTGCGTGTTTGCACGGGGATGTGTGATGAGAGCCTCGGAGAGACGGATGAACGGACGTGTACACGGGTGTGTGTACAGCACACGAGTGGGCGTGTGTGTAACGGGGTGGGGGTGGGGATTACTCTACGCAGAGCAGCTCTCCGGCTTCCCTGGCCCCGGCAGGAGGGTGCGGGGGGCGCTCCCGGCAGATCTACGCTCCGCTTGGGGCGGAGGCGGCCTTTGCAGAATGAAATGACATCGCGTGTCTTATGATTCTGGCCAGCCCCGCCTGACCCCGCCTCCCAGAGCTGGGCTGGGTCGCGCGTCAGGGGGTTTGGGTGAGAGCCGGGCTGATTGGGTGTCTCATAATGCCCCGCGGGTCGCTGGGGGCAGCCTCTGGGCCCCCCTCTTTGAGCCCCGCTGTAGCCGGTGTGGAATGTGGCGTGTCTGCGTGTTCCAAACCCGCTCTCGGCTGGAATGTTGCGTGTGCCTGCATCCCAAGCCCGTTGGTTACACCAGGTGGTGACGTGGATGGGCCCCGCCCCCTACCACGTGCACGGGGGACACTCCCGCTGGGGACAGCGCGGCCCAGCCCCTCCTTGCTACAGCCTCAAGCTCTGCCGGGGGCGGGGCCTGGGCGGGGCTAGCCAGGGGCCTTGCGCCGGGTTGGGCCCTGGTTTTGGCCGCTGGGCATCTCCCTGGGAGATTCTTGCCCTGGGAAGGAGGAGCCGCGCTCACCTCTTGGTTCTAGTCTGCAACCTATTTTTACTCCTAAGGCGAGGAGAACCCTCAGAATCTCAGGGTGTCAAGACATTTAGAACTCACATCTCCCTTCTGACCCCTAAAGCTTTCTCCCTAAGGCTTCCTCAAAACACTCGCGCCCACACTGGAATGATCCAGATCCAGAAGGGGCAAACTTTAGCCCTTCCTCATAGTAACGGAGAATCGGGGATTTTACGCTCCTGTTCCTACGTACCCTTGGTGGTGGTCCCTAGCTTCAGGGTGCTGCAGAAGTAGGGACTGAGGGGGAAAGGCTCGCTTTCCAGACTGTTTCCAGGGCCTCAGCGCCGAACGGTGTGTGCGCCGTTCCCAGGGACTCCTGTGCCTTCCCAACCTCCCTAGAACCCCCGGCTGGCTGGGTTGTGGTGAAGCGAGTGCTTCGCCCTCCTTTCCTTTCTCTCTGCCTATTGTTGCTTCAATGATGAGTCATGCAGGAGGTAGTAGTGTGTGTTCTGTGCGCGCGCGCCTGCAGCTTGTGCCGCCGCCACCGCGGCGGCGGGGGTGGGGGTGGGGAGCTGTAGCTAAGCAAGGGGCGGGAGAGCTGCGGGTCCGCAGGCCTAGTCAGACTGGACTGGCCTCTCAAGGTCAAGAGTCACTAGAAATGTGCCAGATCTAGATCTTTGGGTTCAAGGAACTCATGAGCTGGGACATCTGCCCACACGCCTCTCCCTCTTGGCTTTGGGGTCCACAGCAGGGTCAGGCAATGGACAGTGCCAGTGGTTAACTAGAATGTCCTGTGTGTGGTCCCAGTGGTGGGGGACAGACCATGCATTAAGTCACATGCTGCCTCCGTCAACACAATACAATTAAGAGTGCCAGTCGTGTCCCGGGGGTGTACCATTCACTGTCCTAAAGGTGACCAGGATTGGCACTGCTATTTCAGGGAACTCTCATTTCACCCTCCCTTAGCTGAAGGCTGAGTGGCCATAAGGGGGAAGGGGACGAAACCATCACTGTCATCCTTCTACCCTTGCCCAATTAAGCCCAGAGCTGACCAATAAGTTGGAGGGGGATGATGTCAGCAGCTCTGCCAAGGAACCAAGGAAAAGCTCTCCTAAGAAGTTGCAGAGCCTTGCCCCTCCCCCGAGTGGTAAGAACTGGGGACTAGCAAATTCAGCTGCTGGGTCACAGCTTTTGGTGCTGGATCAGGGATCTTAGGAGCTGGATAATTGGAAAGCCATATCTGAGAGCTCCTGAATAGAGATAACCAAATTTGATCTTAGTAATTTAATCTCCAGAATTCACTTTCTTCTTCCTCTTCTTTTTGGGGGGCCTAGGGAGTGAGGGACAGCAGTGGGGTTTGAACTCAGGGTCTCATGCAGGCACTTCTACAGCTCTTTTTTGTGGTGGGCTTTTTCAAGATAGGGTCTCTTGAACTATTTGCCTGGGTCTGGCTTTGAACCATGATTCTCCTGATCACTGCCTTTTTACTAGCTAGGATTATAGGTGTGAGCCACCGGCACCTGTTGTCTTTTCCCTCTTAAAGTTCCATTCTTAGACCTAAATCAAGAAGAATGGACAGGACAAGGTGGGATGTGAATCTGCTGACCGGAACTGCTCTCCAAGGGTATTTCCCTGATGATCAATCTGAACAAAGATCCTCTTGTCCATCCCTCCTTCAACCTCAAAGGCAGGTTTCTTGCCTAGACCAGACAGTTTGCTCACATGATGAACCTGAGGATGGGTGCACATGTGAGCATGTGTGAGAGAGAAGAGAGGAAAGGGCAAGGCCCTCCTGGTGCTCAGCAGGTCTGATCTTTCCTCATGGAGGTGACTTGGAATTTCTTCTGCCTTGGTTGGAGGGAGCTGACCATGGCGTTCAGAGGCTCCTGACTATGTCCCATCCTGGGTTGCCTTATGTGCCAAGTTTCCTGGTAGCATGTAGAAGGAGGGGAACTCCTGTGTACATTCAGAGTCACAGTGTGTAGATCCCTCAAGCTGGAGTCCTGTGCTTGGTGAGTCCCTGGGCCATGGTAGCTTAGAAAGATTGCAGGCAGTACTATTCTATGTGTGTGCTTTCCTAGTCTTTGGTCTTGAATTATCCCAGAGAGACCTGCTAAATTCCTTGGGAGCAGTGTCTGAGTAGAGCCCAGGGAAGGTGTAGTGTGCATGTATGTGAGTGAGGAATGCACCTGTGGGTGAAGAACATTCTCTGAAATCTGTTCTTCAATGCAGATTGCTCCTGAGAGCGGCCCTAGCACCCACCAATGTGTTTGGCCCTCCAGTGCACTGGGGAAGGTAGTTGTGGGTGGGAAATAGGGGAGGGAGACAGAGCTTTAGTAGCTGGCTTTGACTGGGGGCAGCCTTCTTCACTGCAATCAGGATTTTTCATGCTGGGCCAGATGTGATGTTACTTTACCATTCACCAAGGTCCTTTCTGGCACCTGTGAAGTGAACCTTCCTGGCTCTGGGAGAAAGGGGAGGGGAGAAGGAGGTTACCACCTCCTAGGTGAGCTTTGAACTTGCTTTAAAACATGGGGTTGCCAGGCACTGGTGGCTCAGGTCTGTAATCCTAGTTACTCAGGAGGCAGAGATCAGTAGGATCTTGGTTTGAAGCCAGCCTTGGCAAATAGTTCATAAGACCCTATCTTGAAAAAACCTATCACAAAAAGGGCTGAGGAGTGGCTCAAGGTAAAGGTCCTGAGTTCAAACCCTAATACCGCCAAAAAAACCCACATGGGGTTGCTGGGCACTGGTTCATACCTGTAAGGCAGAGATCAGGAGGATCCAGGTTCAAGGCCAGCCTAGGCAAATAATTCCTGAGACCTTATCTGGAAAATACTCAACACAGGGCTGGTAGAGTGGCTCAGGTGATAGAGTGCCTGCCTAGCAAGTATGAGATCCTGAGTTCAAACCCCAGTACTGCCAAAAAGAAAATACCCAACACAAAAAAGGAGTAGCAGAGTGGCTCAAGTGATAGAATGCCTAACTAGCAAGTGTGAGACCCTGAGTTCAAACCCCAGTACTGCCAAAAAACAAAACAAAACAAAAATAAAAAACCATAGTGTTTATTTTCAGTCTAGACTCCAAGGATACTTGGCCTTGAGGCCCTGTCTGTCCCTCTGCCTGTGGACAGTGGAGTACTTGCCCCAAAGCTAATGAAAGTTTGGGTCCTAAATCACTGACAGGAGTGGAGGTGGGGGCTGTGTTAGGCACTGAGATCATTTTGAGAGGAGCTGGTAGGGGATTTTCCATGCCAGGCCTGCCAGGGGTCTTTAGTGGGAACTCAGCAGGTATCTTTGCCAGTGTGGTTTGTGGGAAGCTGGAACACAGGGAGCTGGTTTTCTCTGGGGCTGTAACCTAAGCCTGTGCAGGCAAGGAGAGACCTAGGAGAGCAAGGCCTCCTCATGCCGGAGCAGGCCTACCCAGCCTGGCAGCTCTCTTTCCTGAGGGGAAGGGGTGATTGGAAGAGGCCCACTGACTGGCAGCCCTGAGCTCTGACTGCTGGGAAACCACTGAGGGCTTCCCTTGGAACACTTCCTCCCTACTTCCTTTTATGGCCTTTTCCCTGCTGGGCAGGGCCTGGAACCTCTGAAGGTGTCATTGGCCAGGGAGTTGCTCCTCTGCTCTGTAGGGAGGACTAGGCCCCCAGCCCCACCTGGCAGTATGTTTGGGGTGTGTCCACCCCTGTGTTGTCACCTATGCTGTCAGCACTGGTGAATGTGTAGGAGGAAGGGGCTGGTTGTTCAGCTCCTCCCTGGGCTAGGAATGGCCCAGCCCTGTAGCCAGGGAACCTAATAGTTGGAGCCTGAGACAGGACAAGGAAGTGGGGAGGTGAGGAGAGGCCCTGCCCCTTCCTCTTTCTTGAGCTGGAAGGCCTCACCTTCCTGCTGGACTTTCAGCAGAGATGCTAAAGGAAGTGATGGTGAAGGTGGCCTGAGTCCATGGCCCTGCTTGGCCTGTACTAAAAAGCCCAGCCTTCCTTTCTGCCTGTCTCTTACCTTTCTAGTTTGTGCTGCTGCTGGTGGTGGAAACACAGGGGGTTGAGAGAAATGAATCCTATAAGGGGCAAGTGTGTTGGTGAATGATCCCTGACCAAACCTAGCCTGGGAGTTAGAAGTCCTGAGCCATTTCTTCATGAAGTAAAGGTGATGCCCCTGCCCTGCCTGTGACATGGGACTCTTGTAAGGATGGGAGGTGTGACTGTATGTGAGAAGACACCTAGTGAGCTTATATTGACACAGCAAGTACAGAGCGTCCAGCTAGGTGTCAAGAGTCTTGCTGTGTAACCCTCAACAAATCAAGGTGCCTCTCTGCTCACTGATCACATCAGTGGAATGAAGGTACTGTCTACCTCTAGCAGGTGCAAGGCAAATACTGTGGAAGGTCTTCCACAGAAGCTGTGACTGTCAGCATCCCCTTCTATTTTCCTGTAGTGGCCTAAGCACTCTTTTGTGACCTGGCCTCTACACAGCTCTTCAACCTCCTCATCTGTTCCCCTTGGACACATTAATTAGCCTTCTTGCTCCAGATTCTCCTTGCTGAATACCTGCCTACCCACCCCCCCCCAAGCTTTAGGTTGCCAGACCTGCAGAACCCTGTCTTAACTTCTACTTGCATTTTGGACCCCTACCTTTCCGTAGCCTGGCATTTTTACTTTTTGCCCCATCACAGCCCCAGACTATGAGTTCCGCAGTGGCAGGGAGTAAGCCACCTTTGTTCACTGTTGTCTGTTGTGTCCCAGCCACCACTGTCCCAGTGCCTGGCTGGACATACTTAGGTGTATGTAGTGTCTCAGACTGGGTGGGGTATCACTGAACACTGCCTGGGACAGGTCAGCAGTGACTTTGGGTTGGAGGACAAGTGAAATCAGGGTCTAGGACCTGCAGTCCTGCTGAGACTCCCATGTGTTCTCTCTGTGTAGAGGAGCAGGAGCGGCTTCGCTTGGAGCGGGAGCGGGAGCAGGAGCAGAAGAAGGCCAGTAGCCTGGCCAGGCTGGCACATGCCCTACCTGTGGAAGAACCCCGCATCGAGGCACCACCCCTACCCCTGTCCCCACCAGCACCCCCACCAGCACCTCCACCACCACTTGCCACCCCTACCCCATTGACTGTCATTCCTATTCCAGTAGTGACCAACTCTGCCCAGCCACTGCCCCCGCCCCCACCACTGCCCCCTGCAGCCCAGCCTCTACCCCTGGCGCCACGTCAGCCAGCCCTGGTCAGTACCCCTGGACTTAGCATTAAGGAGCCTGCCCCCTTGCCTGCTCGGCCACAGTTGCCCACCCCTGCTCCCCTACTGCCAGACTCGAAGACCACTGTTGCACCCACTGGCAGCCCCAAGCCTCTGCAACCCCTCCCCACACCCATCCTGACCATAGCACCGCATCCTGGAGTCCAGCCTCAGCTGGCCCCCCAGCAGCCACCCCCACCCACTCTTGGGACCCTGAAGTTGGCACCAGCTGAAGAAGCCAAATCCAGTGAACAGAAGAAGAGGCCTGGGGGGTGAGTGGGGTTTGGCAGAGTGGGGCTGGTGGGATGGAGAGATCTGTCCACCCCTTGGGCTGTGTGTGCAAGAGAAGCTAGCCCTTCTAGATGTCCTCCCTTCTAGATGTCTAGAAGCTCCTCCTGTATTTGAACACATTCTCACAGTGCTCTAGACTGGGAATGAGTGGTCATTGTCCACTGTTCTCATCTGTGTTGTCTGACCCCCTCCAAGGCTGGGGCTTATGGTATTTCCAGACCTCTGGATAGGGTACTGGATTATAGGCCTCTTGGGTAGGGGTCAGACTCAGCAAGCTGCTTCCTCTGAGTCCCAAGATGCCTTCTGTCTCCTCAGCTGACTGGGTGGGATGGAAGGGCAGGGCTTGTGAATTACGAACATAGATGTTCAGGGAAGGAAGAGGAATGGGCTCAGCACAGGGCAAACACTTGCCATTGCTGCTTTTATAGAGAGAATGTTGGGAACAGAAAGCCTGTGGCATTTGAGGGGGTGGTGGGGGTCAGGAAGGCTTCCTATTTGGGCCCTCCTCCCTGAGCCTCCTGTCTTGTCTGGGTTTCAGGATCGGAACCAGAGAAGTCCACAACAAATTGGAGAAAAACAGGTGTGTGTGCGTGCGTGTGTGACTTTGGGCCCGACGGGCCAGCTCCCGGGACTCACCCAACCCTTGCTCTCCCAACGCTCCCCAGGGGCCTTCCTTCCACCACCGCCCTCCCCCGCCCTCCCCCTCCCCCCCGGCGCTGGCTGACCAGGCGCTTGCTCCCTTTCCCCAGGAGGGCCCATCTGAAGGAATGCTTTGAGACCCTGAAGCGCAACATCCCCAATGTGGATGACAAGAAGACGTCGAATCTGAGCGTACTGCGGACGGCGCTGCGGTACATCCAGGTATGGGGGAGGGAAGCTGGGCAGGGCGGCGCCGCGACGACCGCAGCTACTGCTTCCTCCCGCTCTGCAGCGCTCCTTCGCTCTCGCCGCCTGCCCCGCCCTCCCGCGCTCGCCGGCTCCCCCGCCCGCCTCCACGCGGGCGCTGAGCACATGGCCCAGCTGACGTCAGCGGGGCTCCCAGCCCGGGAGGGGGGTTGGTGGGAGGGCGCGTGCGCTCTGGCGCTCTCCGGTCCCCTGCCCCCTTTCCCTCGCTGCGTCTGCTCTGCTCTGGGACTGTGCGCGCTGTAGACTGGTTTGCTATAAACCTTGTTGCCCGAGCGCGTCCCGTTCGCTCGAGTCAAGGGCGCAGAGCGACCCAGCGCCTCCCAGCCTGCAGGCGGGACCCTAGTTCCTGATTCGGCCTGAGTTGCTAGTGGGGAAGGGGGCTCCTGGGTGTGGTCTTCAGCTACACAGACGCACAGGTGAAGACCCCACCCCATTACATGTAAGCCTTCGAATCCTATTGGTACGCACTTAGAGGCGCCACCATCTCAGCAGCAGCCTGCTTGACAAACAATCCCGGGATCACTAAACCTTAAAAATTAAGCCTTCCGCCTGTGTTGAAAAAAACCGGGATCTTTTTTTAGGAGGCCCCTTTGACCGTATGTCCCTCACTTGGGCATTGGCGCCCCTCTGCGGTAGTGGGGAGCTGCCAGATAAGACAGTTGCTATGACCGCCCGGAGTTTCGGTTTCCCTGGAAACCGGTTGAGGGTTTCGCGTGCCTGGGAGGCGGTGGGGGATGGGGCGAGCTTTTACGCTCGGCTGCCGAGGAGACCTGGAGCCGTTAGGGGAATGGGAGGGACTAGGGGCTCCCTGCCGCGGGGGCGGGGTGAGCTTTGGAGTCTCCCAGTCTGCCTACTTGGGAAGATTTTGAGGTGAAGGATAGCAGCACAGCCCCCATGGGAAGGGTGGCAAAAACGGTCTAGCAGGGCATAAGCTTCGGACGCTGGGGTCACAGCCCCTAAGTAACCTGAGTGTGACTTGCTGGGGGGGCAGAGGATACGTCACTTCTCTCCTCCTTTCTCCCCCCCCGCCCCCAGCCTCCTGCACACGCGCCTTTCCGCCTGCCCTCCCCGGCGAGGGGGAGGAGCTGGCGTACTTCCAGTTCTCTTCCCGGTAACCGGGAGGGGTGGGGCCAGGCTCTTGGATTGGCTGGGTTGGGCGAGGGGCGGGGATCCTGGACGGGGTGGGAGGGTGGGGCTGGCGGGGAGTGACGCAGCAAAGCCTGGGTCCGCGTGGGTGAGCGCGTGCTCCGAAGGGGCGGGGCCTCTTGCAGCCCGAGGGGCCCGGGCGGGGCGGGAGAACAACCCCGGGTTGCAGAGGGTCCCCCGGAGACTGTGAAAGACCTGATAGCTTATTTTCGGAATATCTTTTTTCCCTTGGAGTATTTTTGAAGAATTTAGGCTTGAATGTAATTGTTTTAGCTATTCGAGCTCTTAGCAAATCCCTATTAGTATGCTGTGACTTTTTTTTTTTTTTTTTTGCGGTACTGGGGTTTGAACTTAGGGCTAGTCAGGCGCAATACCTCTTGAACCACTCCACCAGCCCTTTTTTTGTGTTGAGTATTTTTGAAATAGGGTCTTGCAAACTATCCCCCGGGCTGGCTTTCAATCGCATCCCTCTGATCTCTGCCTCCTAAGTAGCTAGGCTTACAGACTTGAGCCATCGGACCGGGTGCTGTGACATTTTCCATGAAGTGGTTGTGTCATGCAGATGTTATAGGAGAATTGAGATTGTTCATGCAAATAATTCATGGCACTCTAAACATTAACAGGAGTTGTTACTGAGAAGTAGGAAGAATAGAATGGCAAGTTCCTCTTTATAGATGCATACTTGGGGTGAGTAGCAGTGCATATAATGTGAACTTGAAAATAATTCCAGAAAGAAACTGATAGCAGCAGCAGAGTGACTGGGTCTGGATTGACTAGGAAGTGGGAAGGACCCCAGGCTGTCCTGGAATGCTTGTCCTGGTTCTGGTAATGAAGCAGAAACAGTAGAAAACTCACAGGACTCTGGAAACCCTCAAGGTCACTTGTTCATTTATTCCTTTAAGTACATTTATACAGGACCTGGGTCTGCTTGTGAGGATACAGTGGAGGTGGTAAAGGACAGGAAAAAGAGCCATGTTATCCAGGTAGTCACAGAAAGGGAGTGGGTTTAAAATGAAGCCATGTGGACTAGGGGTACAGCTCAGTGGGCAGATTGTTTGCTTAGCATGAGCGAGGCTGTGGGCTTGATCAGGAGCACAACAAACAAAAAAATGGGACAGTGTGGGCTACAGCTATAACCTGGAGGAACTTTCCAGAGGACTTGGAGGCCTATGCCCTGGACCAGGTGGAAAGAAGAGAATTTGGTCCCTGACCTTCTTTCTCTCTGACTTGGAAGTCCAGCCTCCTGCAAGCTGGTAGAGTTTAGGATGGTGCTTCCAGCCCCAGCCACCAGATTCAAGTTAGGGCGGAGTCACCAAGGGTCTGGCATTGATATGGCCTCTTATATCATGTCTAGCCTTCAGGGACAGAGCCAGGTGAGAGGCCACACAGGTGTGTGGGGCGAGAAGGGAAGATTTTTCTAGTCTGTCCACCAGAAATGAGGAGAAGTAGGTTAAACTGTATGTGGTCTGGGACTGGTGAGAAGTCAGTCATGTCAAGGTCAGTATAGGGCAGTAATAGTTTGAGGCTTCTCTTAGTGGTGAGGTCAGAAATGCAAAGCGTTTGGGGCAGGAGGAACATAGGGGATGGGGGCTTATCATATGGGTGGGATTGTGAAGGTGTTGCCATTCCCAATCAGGAAAAGCTGCCACAACAGTAAGATAGCCACTAAGGAGTGGAAGCAGGGGAATTTCTAGCCTGCCGGGTTCCTATGATTCTTCTTGAGATTAAGGGATGAGACAGGACAGAGCTCACGAGGGCAGCAGGTTTACAGGCCCTTACCTAGGGGCTGGTAAGCACACTGCTTAAACTTCCTGGCCACTGGTAGGGTCAGGGGTATAGTGAAGTATATAGCAGTTCTTATCTTCGTTTGCAGATTGATGAGCAACAGTGTGCTTTGAGGTCGGAAGATAAAATATAACACATGAAATACTTTGGTGGACATGCCAGCCAGTGGCTGATGAAGTCCCATTTGACATTCTCCTGTTTAATGAACACAGAATGGCTCATGAGACAGGAAGGTGTCCTGGCGAGGCCTTGGACTGGGGAAGGGCATGGAGGAGGTGGGGACTCAGTTGTGGTCTTGGAGCTGGAGCAGACAAGCTGGTGGATCTGGTGTATGAAGAGCCTTGTGGACTCTGCACCTGGATGTGCAGCCTGGGAAGCTAGGTGCTCAGGAGCAGGTTGAGAAATGAACTTGAGAGGCAGCAAAGGTAGGAGCATTTGCCTTGTCTGATGGACACAGCAGTCCTGACACGACTAGGCCAAGAGAAACAGCCAACAGAGAGGCCCATGAGACACAGAATAGTTGGATTAATAAAGTGTCAGTCAGGGTCATGGAGGCACTGGAAAGACTTGTTTATGGGCTGGCAGAGTGGCTCAGGTAGTACAGTGCCTGTCTAGCAAGTATGAGGCCCTGAGTTCAAAATCCCAGTACTACTAGGAAGAAAGAAAGAAAGAAAAAAAAAAAAAAACCAAGCAAACAAGACTTGTTTAGAAGGGGAGCTGGCCATTTAGACCTGTGCAAAGGAAAACCAGAGAGGAGATGAAAGCAGGTCATGGGAAGGAGAGAAGGGTGGGCACTGTCATAAAGTCCAGCCCGTTATCCTCCAAAATCCAAGCTAACAAGGGAATAAGTGAATAATGAGGTTGAGAAAAGTGTAGGATCTGCTTGGATTCTTTGGGAAATGTGTTCTAAGAAGGGTAACTTGTAGCATCAATGACTGAGAAGAATGAGAATAGTGGTAGAGGCTTCCAATGTGATCCAGGAGGCAGAGAGGTTGAAGGGAGAGATGAAGCAAGAGGTAGTGAAGCCCCTCAGGACCAAGTCAAGGTGGGGGAGTAGGAAAGGTCCCTGATACTTGGGTCAGGGCTGGCTTGGATTTGTGCTTGCTTTCAATGGAGCCTGCTCAGGAACCCTCAGTGCTCAGGATGCTGTGCCTGTATTGGGCAGAACAGGAGGCAGGTGAAGTCTCCAGCAGTCCCAGTCAGGCCAGGCTGCTTGCCACTACTGGTTTTGAAGTACATGGTGTCTGTGGCTCAGAGTGCCCTCATGTCCCTAGTCCCTGAAGAGGAAGGAGAAGGAGTATGAGCACGAGATGGAGCGACTGGCACGGGAAAAGATCGCCACACAGCAGCGGCTGGCAGAGCTCAAGCATGAGCTGAGCCAGTGGATGGACGTGCTGGAGATTGACCGAGTGCTCCGGCAGACTGGCCAGCCTGAGGACGACCAGGCCTCCACCTCCACAGCCTCTGGTAAGCCCCAGCCCTCTGCTGTTCCCACCACCTTCAAATGTTGTCCCCAGCTTCCCTGGGCAGGTTTTACTAGAAAAGATGCCACCTGCCCCAGCCCCATCATATCCCAAAACCTTCAGGGGCATGTCTGCCTCCAGCCACTTGTTTCCCACACCTTTCTGACCTGTTCCCTGCCCCATGTTCCCCCACAGAAGGTGAGGACAACATAGACGAGGAGATGGAGGAGGACCGGGCAGGCCTGGGCCCACCTAAGCTGAGCCATCGTCCCCAGCCGGAGCTGCTGAAGTCCACGCTGCCACCCCCCAGCACCACCCCTGCACCTTTGCCACCCCACTCCCACCCCCATCCCCACCCAGTGGCCCTATCTCCTGCCCACCTCCCTGTGCAGCAGCCACCGCCACAGCAGAAAACCCCTCTGCCAGCACCTCCTCCTCCACCAGCCACCCCTGCCCAGGCACTGGTGCCAGCTCCGGCCCATCTGGTGGCCACAGCTGGAGGTGGCTCCACAGTCATTGCCCACACGGCCACCACCCACGCCTCAGTCATCCAGACTGTGAACCATGTTCTACAGGGGCCTGGCGGCAAGCACATAGCCCATATCGCCCCCTCGGCCCCCAGCCCTGCTGTGCAGCTGGCACCTGCCACGCCTCCCATTGGCCACATCACAGTGCACCCTGCCACCCTTAACCATGTGGCCCACCTCGGCTCCCAGCTGCCCTTGTACCCACAGCCAGTGGCAGTGAGCCAGCCCGTGGCGGTGAGCCATATCGCCCACACCCTTTCACACCAGCAAGTGAATGGCACAGCCGGGCTGGGGCCCCCAGCCACTGTCATGGCAAAGCCAGCCGTGGGGGCCCAGGTAGTGCACCACCCCCAGCTAGTGGGCCAGACAGTGCTCAATCCTGTGACCATGGTCACCATGCCCTCTTTCCCTGTCAGCACACTCAAGCTGGCTTGAGGATGAGGCCACTCAGAGGCCCCCAGTGGGGGCAGGGAGGGGGACCTGTCCCCCCTCTCCTACCCACCAGCTCCACACATTCCAGCCAGGCCAGGCCCGTCCCACCCACACCACCCCCAGGCCTCCTAGGGGAAGGGGGTGCACAGACTCTGAGCCAGGGAGGGACCCCCCCATGGGGCAGGGCAGGGGCTTTCCCTGCTTCACTAGGACTTGATACAGTGACTGATGAGGATGCTGTAGTGGGCATGCACCTGTCCAGCCTGGTGCCAGCTCCAATGCCACTCCTGCCTCCCCACCCTGTCCCTTGAAATCAGTGTGATGTGGTCTCCTTGCTCTCTGGCTTCTTCCCCTGCCCGCCTTCCTGTGCTGCTGCTACTATTGCTCTGGTGAGGTGGCTGAATGCCCTAGCCTCCCCTTCCTGACCTCCCTTCCCTAGCCTCAGTGTCCACCTCTAGGGCCTTTGGAGGGGAAAGAGGGAGACAGAACTGAAGCCACTTAGCCCTAAAAGCTGGAGATGGTGGTAAGGGGCCCTGTTCTGAGTATATGTGACAGATCCTAGAAGTGGCTGGTCTGGAGACTGGCCGGACAGGTGGGTGTCTGGGCCTGGGGCTTTCTGACCCACTGGGAGTCACTGATTCCTTCCAGTAGAAATGGTTTAAAACGATTTTCTACCAACAATAAACAAACCCCAAGCTGTTGCCAAGCTTCCCCACTCCTGCCACTGGTCTCTTGACCTCCAAAGGGCAGGCTGAGATTGGGGCTGGGGAAGGCGGGACTTGGCTATTCTGCCTCCCACTAGTGTCCCTGCAGCCTGGGCCTGGCCTGGGAGAAGAGCTACTCTGGAGCTCTATCCCCATCCTTGGTCTTGGCATTTGACGTTCTGAAGTTCAGAAGGCGCGCTCTGGCATTCACACCCCCCGCCCTGTTCTGTAATCTGCCCAGTGCGGTGCACTCACCCAAGGGATGGAGGGACACCTCTGTGGGTTTGGGTGCCTCCTGCAGCATGGGTGATACCAGCAGCTGGTCTTGGTTCCAGGAGCTTAGAAGCCCCATTGTTGAGGCATCAGGAAATTAGAATACAGGGGGTTAGCCAAAACCCTGAACCCCTCACCAAACAGGCCCTGGGGACCTAGAGAGAAGAGCTGGGGGTGAGTGACCATGGAGGAGTGCTGCTTTTGCCCTCTTTCTCTGGACGACCTCATCTCTCCAGGGATAGTTTTGAGGCCCCTCCCTGGTGGCTACTGCAATGTGCCACCACCTTTTGCTGTGGAAAGGGCCTTATAATTAGGCAGGACAGGGCTGAGCTTGGGATTGGGAGGAATAACAGTCCTGTGCTAGGGGATGCTGCACCCCTGATACTATCATGGCCAACTGCTTTGGCTTCTCTTTTTATGTGGATATTTATTACAAGTGGCCTTGTGTCAGACACTCAGTTACACGCACATGTGCACATTCAGCTCTCCACTGGACACATCACCAATGGCCTTTGCGTGTGGGAGAGGAAACAAGTGTCCCTAGGTGTTAAGTTTGCACTGGGGGCCTGGCAGACAAGGGAACAAGGGAAAGCTTGGGATCTTCCTGGAGTGCCCAGGAGTTCACTGAGGAGGCCAGCAAAGGTCTTAAGTAGATTCTCCCTTGAAATAAAGACTCCTTAGATGCCTGAGGACTCCCTTCCAGTTCCTGGCCTTGGAGACTGGGTTTTTCTTATTCCCATTTGTCTTCTGGGATGGGGAAAGGGTGGCTAGGCTAGGACCAGGTCTCCACCCTCAGGCCTGTGGGAGGGAGCCCACCCTCCCCACCCAGCACAGCAATTCCACCCTACAGGCTGGCTGTCTTCCTGCAGCTGTAGCCACCTCCACCAACACCCTGGCTCTGAGGGGCCGGTTTCACTCTCCATGGTGACAATGAAAGAGCAGAGTCTGGTGCTGGCACAGTCAGAGCACTTTGGTGAACTTGCCAGCCCCCATTTTCCCTGTATCCTGAAGCCAGTTCGAGTTCAAACTCCTGTTGGCCAGTCGCCCTTGGGGCCTGCAGATACCTCATCATCCACCCGCTCTACCCCCTCCCAACCCCCCAGTAGGGGGTCCTCCAAATCTAGTGCCGAATGACTATGTCCAGATTGGTGATGATGGGTGTTGTTGCTGTTGTTTTTTGTTGTCGTTTGTGAATGCTGTGATGCCGTGTGCCCGAGTGGGCAGCCACCTCCAGGCCCTTTCTTGGGCATCACCCCTCTGAGAGCTGTTAGGACCATATCTGTCCTCACCCGTGGGACCGCCTGGCCCTTCCCCCCCAGCCCTTCCAGCCTGGGACACATACACACACATCTTACCTCTCATGCGTGTTTTACCTTTGATGTTAGGAGTGGCTCACTGGCTGGGAGTCTTTACCTCGGGGAGAAGGGGAGAGTGGTTCTTTGGGGCCAAAGAAGGGCAGGGAATGCCTGGAGGGTAGTTGGGTCACCATACCCCTGCTCTCTGGGAACAGCTGCTTCCCCTCCAACCCAGGGTCCCACCCCCAATCCCCAAAGAGGTGGCCCTTGTTTACAGTGAGGACTCGGTCACTGTGTCTCCGTTTCCTGAAATATAAACTGTAGCGACCCCAGACTGTAGAGATTTTTATGTGTTTGGATACATCTGCTGTGTGGGAAAAAAAAAAAGCCTACAAAAACCCTAATTTTGTACATATTGTATTTTTACTATTGAACTGTATTCTAGTGGCTGTTCATGCTCCAAGACTTTAGGTATTGAGACATGAATATTATCCATGTAATAAGCACTTGCCTGGAATAAAATATAAATCTGAAATAAACCTGCACTGAAACCTGAGGTGGAGCTGCCAGCCTGCAGCATCTGGGTCATTTTATTGCGAAGGGAGGCAGGGAAAGATCCAGCAAGAAGCAGGTAGTACTCAGGAGGCTGAGGCAAGAGGATGGGTGGTTAGACTGAGCTACCTAAGGGACTCTGAAAATGCCAAAACAAAAAACCGGTAGGGGGATGGGCTGTCCTTACTCTGGGATGCTTAGGGAGCACACCAGGACAATTTTAGAGAAAGATTTGGATCCTCCTAGCCTAGACTGCAGTTCTGGTCTTAGGCTTTTGCAATGCATTATACTTCCTCAAAGCATTTTTACAAACATTATCTCCTTTCATCTTTTAACAGCTTAGCGAAGTAAATAAGCCAAGAGCCAGCCCGTTTGGGCAGATAAGAAAACAGGTTTGAGGTGGTCAGTTAACTTGTTAAGGTCACATAGTTGCCTGGAACTTCACTGGAGCTACTTTCAGATCTCTCAATATAATTTTCCTCCTAGCATTTGGCACCCTTATCCTGGCTTGCCAGGGACACACACACTGGGGAGACTGTCCAGGATCTGGGCACCAGCAGTTAGCAGCTTCCTAAGAAGCCACAGTTCATCCCAGGAGTCAGCAAAGTCACGGAAGGGAACAAAAAGAGAAAGAGGTTGGAGGTCAGGGGCCAAGAAACCATGTTCTCAGCTGGACATGAAGACCCTTGTCCCCCTAACTATTCTCTCCACAACCACACCTTTGGCAGGTTGTGTCTTTGGAGCAAGTAGTGAGGAATGAGGTCAGGCAGCAGTTAACTGGGCTTACCTGCAGACTGGGCTGGCTTCTTGACACAGCCCCTGAAGGGAGAACTGACCCTGTTTCTCTTCTGGAAGGTTGTGCAAGAGGTTATCCTTGAGAAAGGGAGTGGTGGCCACATATGTGCTGGAGTCCTGTTCTCTAAAGGTGAGGGTCAGTTCACTTCCCACTGTGGGTCTCCCCAGCCGTTTTCACTAGTGAGATGTGGGCTCCCTCTGCTGGTAGCTCCAGGAAGAGCTTGATTCGGGGTAACCCTTTGTGAACTCCCTCTCAGACCTGGCACTGTGCCTAGTACTGGGGGACACAGATGAAAATTCTGCCCTGGCAGTGGTGATCAGCATCACCCAATGGCTGTGGCTACATATTGAGGGTAGGCAACAGTTCCCTCAGCACTGCAGGACAGGGGCCTATGGTCAGAGCAATGGAAAACAAAAATCCCAAGTATGACTACAGTTACTCCCATTTGCCAACTCCTGCTCTAAGAGAGGACTCGTTTTCTGAAGCGTGAGAATCTGCTGAGATGGTGTTTCTAGAGCCCACCAGGCTTCTTGCTCTTCCTACTCACAGAAAATTGGCCCCTGCCCTCTGAAGACCTGTCCTGTTTTGGCTGTGGGACTCCCTGTGGTACTAAAAGCCTATCCAGGGTCTGGTAGAGTAGGGAGGGGAGTGTGAAGGAGCCAGGCTACTTTACACAAGTCTTTTTTTTTTTTTTTTGGAGGCATGGGATTTGAACTCAGGGCCTAATGCTTGCTAGGCAGGCACTCTACCACTTGAGCCACTCCACCAGCCCTTAGTCTACTAAAGTCTTTGGTGAATTTCTTTTAGATGGTCACAGCAGAAGAAACTGATTCCTGTAAACCATGGAACCAGCCAGGGAGTGGGGAATGTTCCCCTGAAGGACTTTTCAAATCCCCTGGCCCCAGAATTCCCTGTGTCAACTGGCTTCTCACCTGGGCAGCTTATTTTTTGTTTTTGTCCCAACAGCCTTCTGGGACCATGGGCTAGGATTTTTGGCTCTTGAGTTGGCAACAGTCCCTAATGCTGAAAGTGAGTATCTAGAAAACATGTTGGGTGACTGCCGTCTTTTACCTGGAGCCACTGAACATGTTAACAGTGGCACTTGGGTGGGAACAGCAGTAGAGGAAGGGACAGCCAGACCTTTTCCTTTTCCATGCCTCAGCAGGGTCTAACTCCTCCTGTGGGATTTTTTTTTTTTGGTTTGAACTCAGAGCCTCACGCCACTCAACCTTCCAGGCTGGCTTTGGACCATGATCCTCCTGATCTCTGTCTCCTGAGTAGCTAGGATTACAGGTGTGAGCCACCTGCACGTGTGGCCTTCTGCTGGATTTTAAGAGAGGTAAGAAGTGGATGGGATCAAGGGGCTGGGGCCAGAGGTGTGGGAGCTCCACCTAACCCAGGCATCTCAAGAGACATTGATCAGTGGATAGGAATCATGATCAGAGGGGCAAGTCCCCGGTGGTAGAAGGGGCCTGGAGGCTCCTGTCATTCCTAGTCAAAGTCTAGCTCCTTCCTGCAGGAAGGAAGGCAGGTGGAGGCAAGAGGAGTAATAAGGGGCTGGGGGCATAGCTTAGAAGCCCTGGGTTCAATTTCCAGTACCACAAAAAAAGAAAAAAAGAGGCACATCAGGAAGCTATTCTCATCCACAGGCTGGAGACATCACTGGTCATTCTGAGATGGAACCATGATTCTGGGATGAGGGTTCCCCCCAGGGCTCTGAGTACTTGAGGTATAGCTATTACCACTAACTTTCTGACCAACCCATGCCATCAAGCCCAGAAACTAGAGGCCCCTTCAACAGGAAACTGTTTGGTTTTTGTCCATTGTTGCCTTTTGTAGCTGGCCCCTCGTGGAGTGTACAGAATTCCTTAATGCACAGTTACTCAGTGTCTAGTGTCAGTCACACAAACAGCCCTCAGAGCCTCAAGCATCGCCAAATACTGTGTTTATTGGTCTGTTACACTGAAGTGTACAGTTTCTGAGCTAAACAACCACACACTCTGCTCTTCACAAAACCACTGAGTCACTAAAGCAGGCACACATTGGCCACCCGTGCTTGGTGGAAGCCAAGGACTCATGGACAACAGGGGTGGGCCGGCCCCACACAGGCCGTGCAGTGCCCAGGGGCAGGGGTGAGCATGGGTTGTGCTGTCTACAGAGGGCTGCTGGCTCTTTCTCATGTTTCTCAAATGCTCAAATGCAGGCCTTGCTGACTTTGGTCACTGATGGGCAGGAGGGAGCCCAGTGAGGCCTAGCTTGCATGTGTTTAGGTGGCAGGGGACATGGGGATGACAGACAGAGCAAGCAGCATGCCTAGGCCTCAGGTCAAGGGCTGGGCCCTTTCTGGCACACCTCCAAGTATAGCTCCTCCAAAGGGGTTTCTGGGTCCCTAAATATTTCAGCATTCTGAGAAGCATGTGGAAGGCAGAGATAGCCTTGTTTCTCACCAGGGATAAACTGGGGAAACCAAGGCACCACCCACCTCCCTCAGCCCCAGGGTCTTGGCAGATTCCTGGAACAGGCGATGGCTGCCCTGAAGCTCAGAGGCCTGTCCCTGAGGAGAGGATGTGACAAGATTGCCTCCCTGCAGAATCACCCTGGGCACCTCTGGAGAGTGAGTACTCTCACTATATTCTGGACCATCCTACTGGCAAAAGCATCACTTACGCAGTCTCGGGGTGTATCTAATGCACAAAGCAAGGGCAGGATGGTAAGAGTGAAGTGACACTGTACAGACACACGGCGGTGCACTGTGCAGTATGAAGGAATGTAAGGGGTCACCTCAGGTGGCCAGTGGCAGTGCTGCTAAGGTGGGCTGCTTCCACCCAGGGCTCACATCTGACTGCCTGAGTCTTAGGGGGAGGGCCTGGAAGGTGGTCCCAGTCTCCTGCCCCTAAGACACATGCCTGAATGGGCAGCTGTTCTAGCTGCTCTATTGGGACTGCAAAGGGGCTCTAAAGAGAGATGTAGCACAGAGCCTCTTGCCCCATACAACTTCACCAGGTGGGGGCCAGGACACAATAGCCCTGCTAGCCCCTGCTACAAGGGCCCCAGGTTGACTTGAAATAGGCATTGGGAAACAGTCCAGGCTGAGGCTGCAGGTGGCAGTGGACTACTCCCAGTTGTTTTGAGAGGGGAACAGAATAGGTGTCCCCTAAGGTAGTTGCTCCCTGAGGCCAACCCAACCCCTCCTATCCCAGCTCTGGTATGAGGGCATTCTGGCCCCCTGACTTGCCCTGCAGGGCCAACACTGCCCAGAGTCAGATCCCAGGCTCACAGTCACTTTTGTTAGGAACACAGCTGGGTAGGTGGGGTCACCTGGGGGTTTGGGGCAGTCTGGACAGTGATGCCCCTGCACCTCTGCCTGCTGGAACTCTGGGGCCTGGTTCTCAGGCTCTCCATGCTGCTTCCCTGGCTACAGCTCTCACTTGTTCTCGATGAGCATCTGCACCTTGTGGACGAGGTCCCGGGCAATCCGCAAGATCTCCTGGGCATCGTGATGTTCAGCCCGCTCTGGGGGAAATATGGATAATTGTAGCAAGACCCAGAGACAGGGTAGCAGGTTGGGAAGAGCCCCGTGGCTAACTACCCTGCTTCATGTCTACCTGCTGGGCTCTGACATCTGCCTGTGGGGAAGAGACCCTGATATTCCTGAGAACCCTCCAATTCTTCCCAGGTCAGGAGTAGAGGCCCCCATGCCACTGCTGGGGGCAGCCAGCATGGCTAGACCAGTTCATACCGTTGAAGAACTTGATGATGTCGGTGAAGTCCATATTGTTGTCACGAATGATCTCTCGGTAGGCCTCCACCAGGGCCAGGGCAATGAACAGGACAAAGTGCTCTGATGAGATGTGCCTGGCTGCCCAAATCACCTCCCATACTGCAAACACATCCTCATACAGCAGCTCTGGGGGCAGAAAGGGGCTAGCACTCACCAGACCTGAGCACAGGGCTGGGGCTAAGGCTGAACCTGGCTGCCCTGGCTCCCACAGGCCTCTGGTGAAAGTCAGAGTTTCAACAGCCTGCAGTTGCCCCACTACACACAGCATGGTTCAAGGATAGGGGTCTGTACCCCAGACCAAGACTGTCCTTCTCTGATCATTGCTATATCCTGGGTTCCTGCAGACTCTATATGGCACTTCACTTCCACAGAGCAATCTATTTTTAGCTCTTAGGGGAGATGAGGTATGAAAAAAGTTCCAAATGGTCATCACCTATTAGGGGTGATGACTGTGAGTTCTGGCTGTGCTATGGAACCAACTCATGTGCTTCTAAGAGCCCATCTACTGGCAACCTCAGTAAGGCTGAGGTGGGGTGGGTGCAAAGCACTGGCAGTGTTTCAAAGCTCCCCATGTGGAGGTCAAGGTGCAGTTAGGGGACTACAGACTTAGGGGCAGAGGGAGCTCCCACACCTCTGGCCCCAGCCCCACAATGCCGCCCACTTCTCACCTCTCTTAAAATCCAGCAGGAACCAGCGGTAACAGAAGTAGAAGTGGGTGTAGTCTCCATTCTGGTGCATCAACTCAAACAACTCTGAGTCCAGGATCTCAAGGGAAAGAGGGAGAGAGAAACTGACCCGGGGCTGCTTTTCTGCCCTCCTCATCCAACACACCCAGAGACAGCCTTGGCTGCGCTGCTGTGCTGTGCCTGCATACCTGCTGGCAGTCGCACCTTCTTCCCCTCAGGTCACCTTGGATGGGTCACATTCTCCTGTCCCACCTGTCTCTCTCTGCACAGCATTCTTTTTTGGAATCATGCCAGTTTCAGGGTGTTCGGACTTTACCACCATCCCCCACCACTTACCAAAATGCTCAAGTATGTAAGCATACTTATATTATACTCTTTAATTTGTAACATAGATAACAGTGTCTTTAAAATGAAAGAAATTAAGCTTATATGTAAAGGACATTTTTGGCATACTCCCTAGCCTCCCAGGGGGCGATGGACAAGCCCAGCACTTCCCAGTCACGAGCCCATGGGTGGCTGCAGACCTCACCTGGATGAGGGAACGCATGTTGGCAAAATGGGTGTCCATGGCACCCCCATTGGGGAAGTTCTGGCTCATCCTCTTCATGAGGTGGCTGAAGCAGCTGTAAGCCAGCTGATCTGCATTGAGAATGGAGTGAGACCATCAGTGCCAGATACTCAAAAAGCAGGTGGACTCATATTCCCATCCTTCCAGACCTAGCTGTCTTTTTCCAGTTTGTCACCCCAAACCCAGCTCCACATTGGGCCCACCACACTCCACCTCTCACCATTGTCAAGGATGACCAGGAGAGGAGCCAGCAGATCACACATGCCCTGTACATAGCCCACATCCAGGTGCTCCCACACGTAGCTGAAACACCGGGGACAGACATGATGGCTGTACTCTATTCTTTCCTCTGTTTAGGGATCCCTGGGGACATGGTCTCAGAGCAGCCTGCTGCCCACAAGTCAGCTTTTCTGAAGCACTTACTGTTAGCCCCACCCTGAGAGACAGTGGGGAACTATCCATGGCCCTTGTCCCCATTGCATTTGGGGACCTGGAGAAAGAGACAAAGAGGCCGTCACAGCTTGGTGTGTGGGGCAAGGAGTGAAAGTAGGTAAGGCTTCCTGAAGAAGTGTAGCTGAGGTGGGAATCTGAAAGTCCTCTGGGAACGCAGAGGAGTGGGATGGGGGACGCTACAGGGAAAGTGTTGCAGATGGAGGGCAATAGGTGTGATTCAGGCGTGATAGAGAAGGGCAGGGCATGGGCTGGTGCTAAGCTTTCACAGAGAAATGGGTGGCAGCCAGGGTATGGGCCCGGGTCCCTGCCTCCCTCCTTCAGCCTGCCCCACAATGGCACCTGCACATGATGTCTCTGAGCCTCTCAAGGTTGTGGGGTGTGAAGTACCAGTAGTTGCGGTCACATCTCTGCACGTCCTTGTCTATTCGGTGCAGATTTAAGGCCACGGTGTCCAGTAATTCTATCTGGAAGAGTGGATGGCCCTCAGGGCTGTGGCTGGCCAGTCCCTCCCAGGTTGGGGCAGGAGGTGGTGCCTGAAGAAATGCATCCCTCTGGGGAACCCAGAACTCTGAGAATAGAGTCCTCTGGGGATGTTGAGAGATGGGCTTGATGTTCTCTTTCAGGACAGGCAGAGCACCCCACCCTTCCCCCACAGCTGCTCCCCAGGTGTTGGGATGTCAGGAGGGCCCCTGGAGGTGCTGCAAACAGTGCCAGAGAGCATTGGGAGTGGCCACGTACAGTGTAGGCCGCAGCACACACAGCCATCAGCTCCTCCCCTGCCTCCAGCTCACTGGCCCTTGAAGCCTTCTCTCGTTTAGGATCCTGGGGCTCAGAGAAAGTGTGGGCTGCAGAGACCAGCCCATCTGAGCCTTCTGCTCCGCCATCATCCTCCTCAAAGCCCACGCTCTGACCTTCATCTAGGCTGGACTGGATGCCTGAGGCCACAGAGTAATTGCGGGAGGAAGGCAGCCCTGAGTCTGGAGAGTCAAATTCCACGGACTGCTGCTGCTCCACCACTGTGGTGCCTGGAGTCCCAATTCCTGGTTCCTGCTCAGGCTTTGGTCTGGAATCTTCAGGGCCCTGGAGCCCTGGGGGATCCAGATCATCCACAGAGATAAATACCTTGTGGGAGTAAACACATAGATAATGTCTCCTCCTAGCACTATGGGGCCTTCCTGCAACCCCAGCTTCCTCCCTGGGTCTCCTTATATCCCTCCTCTCACCCACAGACCCCAACAACACTGCCACCCCTGGACGCCTAGCCAGCTTCTGACCTGGCCACCCAGGTGGAAGAAATAAGGTTCTGGGAAAACACTGTTCAGTCCTACCCAATCCCTACTTGAGTGAAACACTCCAGGGCTTCCTGTGGCTACTGTAGGGAGGAAGGGCAAGCAAAGGCCTGGATATTTGATGGCCAGTTTAAATTAAATCATTCTACAAACAAAATAAGTCATGAGCCCAGGAGAGCTGCCCTGGTGTCTTAGTATGGCCACTATGGAGGAAGGCTGGCTAGGTGTTCTTTCCTGTTTTCAGTACTGAATGTTCAACAGGACAAGACAGGAAACTGGTAAGTACCTAGTCAGCTGTTAGCCTTCAGAAAAACTGCAGAGAGGCCAGAAATAAAAGGAGACACACTGTAGGGCTTTGTGCTTGTGAGGTAGTTGCTCTACCGCTTGAGCCATGCCTTCAGTCCTTTTTGTTCTGGTTATTAGAGATAGGGTATTGCTTTTTGCCCAGGCCAGTCTGAACCATGATCCTACTTAGATTTTAGGCTTCCTGCTGTGGCTGGGATGACAGGCACATGCCACTATGCACAGCTTTTTTCTGTTGAGGTGGGGTCTCACATACTAATTACCTGGGCTGGCCTCAAACCATGATCCTCCCAATCTCAGCCTCCCAAGCAGTTAGGATTACTGGTATGAGCCACTGGTGCCTGGCCATTTTTTGTTTGTTTGTTTTGAAGCCCAAGCTAGGATGGCCTAAAACTCTTGATCTTTCTACCTCTGCCTCCTAAGTGCTGGGATTACAGATGTATGCTACCATGCCTGGTCATTCTGCCAGCCCTTTTTGCATTAGTTATTTTTGAGATAGTGTCTTGCTTTATGCCCAAGCCAATCTGGATCACAATCTTCCTCCCTGCATAGCTGGGATGAACATGTGCATGCCACTACATTCAGTCGTTGGTTGAGATGGGGGTCTCATGAATTTTTCCTGGGCTGACCTTGAACCCTCTATCCTCTTGATCTCTATTTCTTGAGTAGCTAGGATTATAAGCTTGAGCCACTACATCAGACATGGGCCTGTATCTCTTTATGTCTTGCTTCAACTTATGCTTTCTGTTAATATTAGCAAGGGTTTAGTAAAGTAACAAGAATACACATCACCTAAAGAGACAATTTTAAACAAAAGACATAAATTGATAAAAATGTCCTTAAAAAAGAAGCTTATCTGTGGGTTAGGTCAAGAATCCATAGTTTAGAACTTGCTTTTCTCTCTTTCCTTCTTTCTTTCTTTCTTCTTTTTTTTTTTTCCAAGATAGGGTCTTGCAAACTATTTGCCCGAGCTGGCTTTGAACCATGATCTTCCTGATCTCTGCCTCCTGAGTAGAACTTGTTTCTAAAGTGAGGGGTGATGCCAGGAAGAACTACCAACCAAATGCTGTGAACTAGCTCTGCATATCACTTCTACAAGGTGATACACTGGAGGGGAAGAGGATCTTGCCAGTGGACCCAGTGGGACAGCTCTAAGTGTTCCCCTGTTCTCTGGCCAACAACTGTGGGTGAAGCCTCTGCAATCAGAGAACGGGGAACCAAGGCCAGATGGGAAGGCCAGATGGGAAGTTCTTGGCAGAGACACTGCTCATGAGTAGTGGACCCAGGACTGGACTCCAGGGGTACATGTTCCTATCCTTGGGTTCTGTCTACAAGGAGGGAGCACTTCCCTAAATCCCAACAGACCCACCTTTCCCTGCAAGACTGCTGAAACAGAACACAAAGCATGGTCTTGTTTTATCCTTACTGCACTCAGACAAGTTGGCAGCAAAGGGACAGCTACACATTTTTCAGTTGAAGAAAATGAGGCACAGACATAGTAAGTCTTCCACCCAGGGCTCCACTGCCAGTGAATATAAGAGGGCAGGCTGGTATCCAGGGCCCTTATAGATAAAAGGCTGTTGGGCCCTGCCCAAGCCCCCACCCCACTGGCCCATCAGGCTCACATCGTTGCTGATGGTGGAATCTCGGTGGATGAGGCGCTGCACATGACTGTCGATGCTGCTGCCCGAGGAGAACTTGCTGAGAGTGGCTGGGTGAGCCTCCCGCTCCCGCTGCCTCACCACCACCTCACAAGCCTTCCACTCCGCCAACACCTGCTGGTACCTTGCTGCCACCGCTGCATCCACCTGTGCTTAGACCACATCATAACCATGGGGGAAGACTGCCCCAGGGCCTCCTCCTCAGGGCTGTGAGGCACTGGACCTCTGTCCCAGAGTTTCAAGACTAGGAGAGCTGCAGACAAGGCAGGACCCTCGGTGAGGACCGTGGGGTGCACTGCTATCATCTTCCTCTGTTATGTTTCTTTTTAGCTAGGAAAGGGCTGAGGTTTCTGAGGAGGTCCCCTCCCTGGGGCCCCTTTACCCAGCTCCCATCCCCTTGCTCCATAATAACAAGTTCCCATTACCTGCTCCATCTCCTTTTTGCTCATGCCAAATTTGTAGTGGCTAAGCAGGAAGGGCCAGACGTCCTTGCGGATCTCATGTTCTACACCTCCGTAGTAAACCTGCCGCAGCAGCTCCAGCTCCTTGTAGTTCTGAGGGACCCGGAGAGGTAAAGACTGTGCAACCCCATGGTCATGCCCAGCCAGCTGAGCCTCATCTCAGGGAGAGCTTGGGCCAGGGCTGGGGCTTTAATGGCTCTGCTGGAGCCCAGGCAAGAACTCCTGTGCCCAGGTTGCAGTTGGATGAGATCTAGTGCCACTTCCTTCCTCACAGGGCAGGAAATGAAGCCCAAAGGAAGGCAAAGTTCTGCTTGATGTCACAGAGCAATGTAGAAGCAGAATGGAGCCCCAGCCCAGTCAACTTCCCATGTGTACCCACAGATCCAGCTATATGAGAGTGTACTGTGACTCAGGTCACTCCATGGACATCAGTCCTGGCCTGTCAACCGGTCCCCCACCACACTTTCTCCTCAATTCCCATTTGGTCTACAAAAGCTGCTCCCAGAGCAGGTAGCTGTGCATAACTGCTACCCACCGTAGCTCTCAGCCCAGCCTCTGGCTCTACAACCCCTGAGTTGCACCTTTTTGTCTTTCTGGTACTTGCTCCACACATCCTTGGTGAGGCCTCCTGAAGCTCCAGGGGGCCGGTCGGGCGGAATAATGCTGTGATGCACCAGCGCTGACAGGTGAGTCCGCACCGTGGACAGGTGGCGGCAGTAGGCCAGCCCTGTGGTAGGCATCCAGGAGGCAGTGACTGAGGTGCCCCAGCCCCTGCCCCTCACAGTCCCACTTCACCACACACTCACAGCCATAGAAGGCTCGGGACACAATCTGCCTCTTCATGCTCTTGCACAGTAGCCTGAGGGGCAACCTGTGGAAACAACCTGGTTCAGAGGCTGGGGTTATAACCCTCCTATGGGAGAAGGATGAGAAGGACATTCTGGCTTGGGGGAAGGCAAAGTACTTGGGATGGGGTGGGATCAGGCATCACATTAGCAGACCCTGTCCCTGCTAGCCACTCTTGATACTGCTGCTGGGGGCCCCACCTGGCCCCCAACTAATACTCTAGTGAATCTTGGTTTCCTCATGAGAAAATGGAGAAAGCTACCTTAGGGTCATCAGGAGTAACAGGTAAACATGATATGACAAGTAAAGGAGAAGCACCCAGCCAATGGCCCCACGCAAAGGCTGTTCACACATTGTTCTTGCACATGGCAGGCGCCCAGAGACATGTCAAGTGTCCTCAGGTATGCAGCCTAAAGCAGGCTCTATATCCGCACTGGGAGCGCAAGTTCACAAGTGTGGGGCACCTACTATGTGCAGGGTCAGTTCTGGGCATCCATGTGGTCCTCATAACTGCTTTAAGAAGTAAGTGTTATTATCCCCATTTTACAGGGGAGAAAATAGGTTGAGAAGCATAGAGGCTCATAGAGACTCAGAAACTTGCCAAGTTACATGGGTAGCATAAGTGAATTTGAACCCAGGTCTGTCCAACTCCAGAGGCCACTCTGTCATGCAAGTGACACAGCCTATAAGGATAGAAGGATATACACATGGATGGATATACAAACAGGAAGCTGGTATTCTGGGCCCTGCTCACTCACCTGTCAGGGATGCAGCTGCAGTGGCTGGGGGTTGTGTATGGGGAGCTGCTGGAGGAGCAGGAGAGGCAGGAGGAGCCCTGGCTACACAGAGGCTCCAGGTGCCAGGCTGTCAGGCCGGGCCCAAAGCCCTGCATCTCGATCATGTCACCAGCATCTGAGGGCAGGAAGGGGTCAACATCAGTGCCTGACAAGCCTCCTCCCCCACAAGCACCCTTCAGCATGCCCACCTCTGTGCCCAGAGCTGCAGCATGAAATCACCCGTAAATGGAAAACCATAGGGGTGGTGCCTGCCTGGTCCAGAGCCCAGAGATGGAAATGGTGGAGAGGGTGCCCAACACTTCCCAGCCTCCCACAAGCCTGGAGAGGGCTGGCACATGATAGAATACTTGGACTGAGTTGTGGGTGATTGTGTCTACCTACCTCCATCCCACAACCAGCAAACACTTGCTTTTCTAGAGGGAAAGGAAGGAAAGAGAAGGAACAGCGCAGGTCTGAGCTCCCCTGAAATGCTGCCAGTTAGCCTGGTCTTTAAGGGCTCAGCTTGATTTTCTTGAGCAAATTCTGAGATGCTCAGGAGGGTGCTTGGAACCCTTCAAACTCTGACTCCTCTACCCAAGGGAGTCTCTACTGATCAAAGCCCCTGAATGACCTGAGCTACCTGTCCCACTGGCCTTGCCCTTTTGAGGGGTTCTAGATCTGGGGACAAGTGGCTAAGTAGGAACAGTGCTCCCTACACAGTCCAGACACCTTGTGGCCTAGCCTGACTGCATTTAGTGTGGTGGCTCACAGGTGAACTGGAAAGGAAAGCAAAATTCCCAGGGCTGCCAGGGACTGTGAGGGCAGAGATGATGACCAGCACACAGGCCTACCACCCAACACACCAGTCGCACACAAACATGCCCAGGTGCAGCTTCAGAAGATGGCTGGCTCCCTTGGCCACATCTACCCCACTGCAGATGGAGCCTTTCCAGCCAGCCCTGCTGATCTGCATCAGAACTGAATCAAGACCCTTGAGAGTTTCCAGGGCCCAACTGGGGCAGGATACTGCTCAGGGGAGGACATTGGCAGGCCCAGGGAGCCACAGAGATGAAGCACAGTGAAGCAGGAAGTGAAAGGACCAGGAAGTGTTACCATAAGGGAGGAGAGATAAGAAGAGAGTGAAGAAGAGCAATGAGAGAACCCTGTGTTCTGAGATTTCTTTAAGCAGTGCTGATATTTCTTTTAGCAGTGCTTTATTCAACGAATCTAGCACGACCTTGACTCAGCCTGGGCCCTGGCCCACCAGGGTCTAGAGGGGGCCTAGGCCTGGTTTTTCTGGGAACCAGACTTTAGCTCTGGGTGTACCTTGATGGGGAGGACTGAGCTGAGTTCCCTCCAGTTCCCTCAGGGGCCGTCCTGCCTTGTCCTTCTGAGACCCATGGCTGGGAGTGTGGCCCTTCAGCTCCACCAGGAGGCAAATTAAGGGAACATACTTGGTGGGGAGGGGGAGGCTGCGGCTCTGGGAGTGAGGGGTTGCAAGCCATGCTCAACACTCTGGGAAGAAGAGAGGAAGGGGACAAGTGCAGGTGGGCGTGGGTCAGGAGCCCAGCTCATGCCCCTGCAGCAGGCAAGAAAGCGGTAGCTCTGGGAGGGACCTAGGGTAGGAGTAGGCAAGCAGCCTGGGCAAGCAGCAGGCAGCAGGTGAGCAGGCAGGGAGGGTGACAGGTGCAGAGGGCAGAGGATGGGCACAGAGGGAAACGAGCTCATGCCCAGAAAGCAGGGCCCAACCAAGGCAAGTCTCCTGGGTTAATGCTCTTCACCTTAATTCTCCAGGAAGGAGCTGAACCAGCCAGCACTAAACACTGTCTCTGAATTAACCCAGTACAGACAGCTGGAGCTCTGGAGTGACTGGGTGAGGGTGCAGCAGGCTGGATGAGGGTTGCTGGGTCAACTTTGACTCTGACTCTCTCCTCTGAGCATGAGGAAAGAGTAAAGTAAACAATCTGGGTGGGTGAACCCCACAGCCCCTAAGACTCCGAGTGAAAGGTGCCTGGCCTGGAGCAGAATTAGAGTGAACAGCATCTCTGCTCTGTTGGGGAGGCAGCAGGAAAAGGGGGAGAGGGAGGGGGAAGGAAAGGAGATCTGGACACCCCGCCACTTGAATCACATGCACAAGTCAAGCATGTTGCAGGCCTGAAAAGCAACAGCTAGCAGAACGGACTCAACAGTGTTGTCATTATGGACTGGAGTGTAGACAGAGGCTCACAGCCCTCATTCCCTTTTCCCAACCATCTATGGATTCTGTTGTAATGCCATCTTTCTCCTTTCCAAGTATTGGGGGCTCACAGGCTGCATGTTGGGTTGGTCTTGCCCCTAAATTCTGCAAGTACATTCCCAGACCAATCCCAAGGCCTCTGGATTCCGTGGGCTTGGAAGTCTCTCTGATTTTGGAGGCCTCAATCCTAACATTAGTCAGTGGGCTTTCTATCTCCAAGTCTGCCAAGACAAGGACTCTGCTGGAAGCCTCCAGCCTCCAGCCTGGCTGCTTATTTGTGGACCTCAACCTTCCATACTATTCAAAGTCAGTTGACCTGCAAATTAGCAGCAGTCCCAAGTCTAAATGTGCAAGGAACCAGATGGCAGGCATGTGGACAGGCAGTAAATATGAGAAGGATGGTGTTCCCACCTGGGCCTGGCCTACAGACTTGTGCTGGAAGGGCTGGGAGGGAGGACAGGTCCAAAGGCAGGCATGTGGGAGGAAGGACAGCTGGCAAGATTGGCTAAGGAGTGCTGGATGTGTTCTAAGCCACAGGCCTGACTGGCAGGGATGGGGAGGCTCATTATTACTGGCTGAGCAACTAGTTAAGGAACTATGCTCCTTAACAGAACTTTGTAGAAGCATAAGGGGAATGTTATCTATTCTTAGACTCCTCCTGCAGGGGCAGGGAAAGAGGAAAAGCAATCATTTCTCTGGCATGGAAATAGGTGGAGAGGAGGAAGTTTCCTGACCTTCAAGATAGCTGGATTTAGCCCCTTCCTGTCCAGCTTTTCCTCAAGTGCCCCTGCCAAGCCATCACAGAGCTCCTGGCTGACACCTCTCCAAAAAGAGTGGTATTCCCTCTCTAACAATGCAGATCTGTGCTAAGAAAGACGGTGGTAGACAGAGAAACACTGGTGGCTGTGGGCACTGTGCTGTGTTGTTTCCAGTGAAGGGGTCCTCTGCAATCATAGACTCTGAGGGTGGGAACACACCTGTGTGATATCCCTGGCATAGCACCTGGCACCAGTGAGGAAACTGAGCATTGAGATGGTGAGACACTTTTTCAGGAACCAGGGACATATCTGGCGCAAGAATTCATGTTGCCATGCCCTGAGCCTGTGCCCCTTCCTGGACACCCTGCAGCAAGAATTTCTATATTTCATGCCAGAACTGTCTGCTCAAGCTGTTAGGCCTCCTGGGAAAACTAAGCACTGGGGTGTCTTCCCATGGTGGCCCCCACCCCTCACCTGACATGTTCAGCCCCATCTCTGCCTTAGGAAGGGCCTAGTGCCACTGGCCCGTTTCTGTTAAGTCAGGAGTCAGAAGCACAGGGCCGTGGCTTGTGTTTCCGATTCAACAGGAAACAAAGAAAGAGACCACTTCCTGAAATCTGTCATCATGACTGTTGGAGTAGGGAGGGGCTGAGAGCCATTCAGGTCCTCAGGAGCAATTAGTCAGCCCTTCTCCTCAATGGCTCTTCTTCCTTCCTTAGACCCAGTGCTACTCACTCTATGTGCCCCCTATTCTTTCTTTCTTTTTTTTGGTGGGGGGGAAGGCGGGGTTTGAACTCAGGGTTTTGCACTTGCAAAGCAGATACTCTACTGCTTGAGCCTCATCTCCAGTTCATTTTTGCCCTGGTTATTTTGGAGATGAGTCTCACAAATTATTTGTCCCGGCTGGCCTTGAACCGCAATCCTCCTGATTTCAGCCTCCCAAGTAGCTAGGATTACAGGCTAAGCCAGCAATGCCTGGCTGTTCCCTTTTCTTGCCAGCACCTGTCTGTCTTCCTTGCACCATCTCTGATCTGCCTCCTAATGGAAGGAAATCACCCTAGGTGCAAGTCCCCTAATGCCAACACTGCTTTTTGAGCCCCTGTGGTGGGTGGCAGGTGGGCCCAGGGGGTAGTGGTGGAGGATGAGGTGAGTCAGGGAGGGGGAGGGATAAAAACCTTTCATCGGATTGGGAGCTGTGAGGTTCCGCGAGCAGATCATTGAGAGCATCGCGTGTAGTTTATCCTCCTCTTCCTCATCATCGTCCACCGAGGCCGCGCGGCTGGCCGCTAGGTGGTGGTAGTTAATAGTGACTGCTCAAAGAGAATAGCGAGAGAGGCAGAGGCATGAGGACCCTAGTCCCTGGGCAGGAGGGACCAACTCCCTCCTTGAGGTAAGTGGCATGGAGGCTGGGATCACCTTGAACCTATAGGACACAGAAGAGGGAAAGGAGGATCTGGGAGCCTTTTGATAATTATTAGGAGAGAACAGAAGAAAGTGAGGCCGGTACAGAGCTCTACTCTTTGGAGGGGTCCTTTCTAGGAAGAAAAGAAGAGAGATAACTGGGTGTGTGTATGTGAAAGACAGGGACTATTTGGGCAGGTTGGTAGCTCGAGAGCTCATCAGCCTTGGCCAAAGGTGGGCAGGACTGCTGGCAGACAGGACCTTATCATTCTTCAGCTCTTGTCATGATCAGGCTGGAACAAATCTGAAGATTTGGAGGTAATCCCCCTTTTTCAGACTGTAAATTCAACCTTCTCCTTCCAGATTTTTCCCACGGTCACCCTAGAGAAGCCTGAGTCACTCAGCTGAGTTTTAGCTCCTGGCACCCTGGCTTTCCCTTTGGGGAATGAAGCGGTTCTCAAAGTGAAGTGACCAGAAAGGGAAATGTCACCAGCTAAAGAGGGGAAGCAGAGGCCGAAGAATCTAAACCAAGCAGCAGCCTGAGATTAAACGCTGGGTTTAAACACATTCTGGCTAAAGATGTCTCCTTGTCAGGCACATCTGTGGGGAACAGGGGATCCCCCACACCTTTTGTCCCCCAAGCCCATCAGGACAATTTGTGCTGTAGTTTTATATGTATACACCCTGGGTCATCTGCCTGCCAACACAGAGACAACTAGTTGACAACTTTTTGGCACCATTTAGGAAATCTAGGAAACAGGTGGTCTGGTTGGCAGAAAGCACTCTGGGCTGACAAATCCCTTGAACTTATCTTCAAGAAACAGGAGGCTGGTCCAGAGAAACCCCTGGGTAGAAGCAGCACTATGCCCAGAAAGGGAACTTTGATATTGTAGTTACTAAATCAACAGACCTCTTAGGTCCTGGGGCGTATATCCGGGGCAGGGCAGGACCCACGACAGCCCAGCCACCTTCAGGCCCCAGCCCTCAACATCCAAGCTCGTCTCCATATGCAACCCTGCTCCAACCAAAGCTCCTCTGCTAGGAGCTGGCTTGAGGAGAGCTTTAGGTGAGTCAGTGAACAATTTGCATTGTCCCAAAAGAAATGTAGAGCCTATGCCCAGGCCACATTGTGGAGGTTGGGTGGCAGGCTGAAAAAGGTTCTCTGCCTTCTATTTCTAGTCCCTCCACCTTTTTCTTTTCTGGTGCAGGGCATGAAAAGATGACTAAGAGAATCTTGTACAGTGATGCCCAAGTCTGCTGAGCAAAGAGTCTCTGGGTGAAGAGGTGGGGAAGGCAGCTAACTAGAAGAGAGGTGAGCTTTCCAAGGAATGACTCCTGGGTAAAAGGTCTAGCAGGAAGACTAAGCAATAAAACTCTTATCTTAACCTGGCCTGCCCAGTGGAACCTGCCTGCTGCCCTCCTGAGTGATGGAGTGATCCCCCACCTTCTGAGCATCTCTTTCCTTCTCCATGGAGGAAATTTGGGACACTCACTGTGCTCATGCCTGTGCCCGGGGTAGATGATCCGGAATACGTAGTCTGTGGCCCGCCCCATGTCCAACTCCTCCATGTCTGTGGACCGTATGCTGCTGCGTTTTCGTAGCTTGGGGAACACCTTGCCCTGTGGAGGGAAGGGGAGGTCAGCCTGTCCAGAGCAGAGTCCAGTGCATGCTTCTTTGGGTCCCACTCAAAGCTGCTTCTAAGAACTCCATGTGGGAAAAGGAAGGGAGGTGGGTTTTATTCACCCAGCCCTGCACCCAGAGCTCCTCCCACCCCACCTTGAGGTACCTTCCCCTGCTGGGTCCACAGCGGGGGCTCAAGCTGTCCTCGAGGCAGCAGCCCATTCTCCAGACAGGACAGAAAGGACAGCAGGTGTCCTCCCTGTGGGAAGTGCAGTGGCGGCCTCTGGATGCCGTCCTGGCTCACCAGCACGAGTGTGCCACCGCTCTCTGGGGGGATGAATGTGGGCAAATGAGGCTGGGGCCCTCCTTGAGACCTCCCCGACCATCACCACAGCTCCTTGCCTAGGTTCCTCAGGTTAGGCAGGAGGACAGTCAGGCTGGAGTGCAGCCCAGGAATCTCATTAATGCAGACAGCAGGAGTGCTGAGGATGCGGCTTAGTGGTAGAGTACCTGCTTAGCATGCACAAGGCCCTGGGTTCAGTCCCCAGCACCAATCAATCAATCAATGAAACAATAGGGATGATGGGAAAGACAGGAGAAGTCTGACAGGCTCCATGCACGATGCACAACTGGGAGGTGTCTGCCCTCCCATCTCTGTGCCTTGGACAAGCAGACTTACTTTGCTGATGGCAGTGGATGCAGACGATCTGACTGAAAGGTACCACCAGGGCATAGTCCCAGTAAACACTGGAAAGGAACACGATTGATGTCACTATGTTCCCAAGACCTGTCATACTGTCTTCCTTGCCACCTGGCCCTATCACCCCTTGACACTACCCTGCAGATAGGATAACATAACTGAGAAATGACCTCGGCTAGCTCCATCCCTCTGAGCCTCATGCTGTCCTCATGGCACAGAGCCCATCTGGCTCAGCTGCCTAGAGCTTGGCTAAAGCAAGGCTCTCCACAACCAGGCATGGCTCAGTCATACAGGGCTTGGGAATCACTCCAGGCAGCCTCTCCCTGTAATTCTTGGCACTGGGATAAGGAGTGAGGCTTGCCTTCTGGAGCAGGCTGAGTCACTCCACCACCCCGCATTGGGTCAAGCCCCCATTCCCTTCCTGTCTCCTGGGAGCAAATGTCAAAGCCCCCACCTTCTTTCCAGCTCAGAATCCCCCAGAGTCCCATTCATGAGCTGGTTGGGAGTCCACTTCAGAGTTAGGCTCTCTGCAGACTGGTGCAAGGAGAGGTAGCCAGGGACAGCCTCCATGTCCTCCTTCTATAGGTTGGAGACATACCAGAAGACAGAGACAATGAGGATCTGGGAAGTCTCCCAGAGATGACCCATGGAAATAAGTTCTAAGTAGGAGCAAGGCAGGCCAGTTATGGGGTCTTGGGCTAGAGACTGGGCAGAATCAAGGGAGAACAGGAAGCTATACAGAAGATCCAGGCATCTGTTCTTCCTGGTTGGCCTGGTACCATTGGCTGTACTGTCAGCCTCCTGAATATCCCAGGCCAGCCACACCCATCCTGGGCATTCACCCTGCCTGCCGGCTGCCACTCCTGCTCCCGGATGGCCTGGTTTTCAGTTAGCCGGGCTAACCAGCAATTCCAGATTGGGCATGAGTCATATTAAACAGTGAGGTGGGGAGCTTTATCTCTGATCAAGCTCCTTAGGAAAGAAACAACTGTAGCTAGAGGCTTCTGGATCTGAGACCTTCGGAAGAGGGAGACGGGTGAGGAATGGTGGCCTTAAGCCTTCCTACCGGCTGCACCAGCACGTTGTTCTTGCCATAGAGCAGCCGTGTTCTTGAGTTTTGGTGCAGGGACTCCACGTATTCGCGGGCACAGGCAGCTAGCCTGTCCTCTGAAGCACTGCCACTAGAGTGCCGCTTCCGGATCTGCCAAGAAAGCTATAGCTGAGTTCCTGGCCTTGGAAGTTGGCCTCAGGACTTGAGAACCCTAAGGCTTCCACGATCACCCTTCTAATTGACCCCAGACCACTTTCTGTCCCCACTCTCTGTTCTCCAGCCAAGCACCGACATGGACTCCTGGCATTTATCTAAGTGCTAGTGGAGGCAAAGGCTCTTCTAGGGTGACCACTATCTTAAGGACCAGTTTCCCCTCCCTACAAGCATAGCCTGGATAAGTGAGCACAGTGGTGGAGAGAGGGATACCCACCCCCAGGGCTGGGCGCTTTGCAGGGGAATCCTGGCGACTGGGGGGACCCCGGATACGGTGCCTCTGCACTAGCTCATCAGCAGAGGGGTCAGTCCAATAGTGGTCAGCTGTCTTGAGCTTTGTGTATTCCAAGGCACAGGGTCCCACTGTGGAGATAGGGATGGTTAGTTTAGATGGGCTCCCTTGCTACCTGCCCCTCACCCTACTGACTCCACACAGGCTTTCAAGCTCTCAGGCTCACCTAGAAGAGAGGCCAGGATTGGGCCAAACACAGGGTCTGCCAGTAATGCTTCCTTCTCATAGTACTTGCTGCCAGGAGTTGAGACAGACAGGGTGACTACCAGGGCTCCTGGACTCAGTCCAAGGCAGTCAAGTTCACCAGGAAGGGATATCCCCACAAAGATTCGTGTCATTCACCAAGGAATGAGTCCATAGGTTGAAGCTTTGTGGGGTGGTGTGGTTTGTGATTTTGGGGAGCTAAAATGGGAGGTGTAGGCATGCTTACAAGCTGTAATAGACTCTTATTCATGTAGAAGGGTGTGGCTGAGGCCTGTGCAGGAGGTGGATGAGGGGAAGGGCCATAGAGGGATGGGGCAGTCACCTGCAGTTTTCCGCCAGGTACTGCACAACCCTGTCCAGAACTTTCTCGATGAGTGCTGTGCGTACCCATATGTGTTTCAAGGCCTGTGGGCTAAGGGCTGGGCCCTTCCCACTGGCTGAGCCCTGTCTCCGCAGGGCCTCCTGGTTGCCTCCTGAGGATTTCCTGCAAAGAGGAGGAGGGCTTCAGGAGCACAATGGTCCAGGGGTAAAACCTAGGTTGGTAGCACGGGAGTGGGGACTTATACCACTAGACGAGAACCCAGAGAGTCCCTGGGCTGGGGCAGGGAGGTAAAGAAGGAGGACAGGGCCAATCCCCACCCTCATGCTGGCCTTCCTCTAAGTAAAGTCCTGTAAGACATGGGACCAGAACTCAGTCTTTGGATGGGCTGTCCTGGGTAGCAGCAGATGCCAAGGGGAAAGAGCCGAGGGGAGGGCTGAGTGGACTGGCCCAGGCTTACCTGCCCTCTACTTGTTGCTGTAGCTCCTGCACCTTGTGGCAAATCTCCCCAGCCACAGAGCATGTCTTCCCCACCTTGGTGAACAGGGCTGCCATCTTGTCACTGCGCAGGAAGCCAGCAGCACGGCGTCTCAGCTGATGTAGGAGGCAAGCCTCTACTGCACCTGGGCCACAAGGGAAAATAGCACCTTAGCCTAGGTAAGGGGGGGCCATCTCTCTTTTTGATGACTGTGGAGAGACAATCATGGATTGCATAGGCAATCCATGACCGATGCTGAAACTCGGGGCGGGCTGAGGAAATATACCCTGACGTACTTCCTTACTTCCCTTCCTGTTTCTTTGCTCCTGCCTAGGGTGGACCTTTGAATGCTGTGAGGTGCCAAGCTGTTCCTCTCCTTTGCCTGGTGTGTACATGCCTCTTGTATGCAGCATGACCCCAGCTACCTGCTTGGGTTGGCATGAACAACTCCAACTGACCATGAGGGCAAGCAAGGACAGCACCTACAGGGTGGGGATGCAGAGAGCACCTGGCCCAGCAGCCCTCCTGGAGAGCATGGTGATGTGGTTGCTAAGAAACAGAGCTCTAAAGGAGCTGAAATATTGATGAAGCCACTGCAAAGATCAGACCTGATAGCAGCCTCTGGATTATTGATAAGCACAGCATTTGAGTGAGAGATTTCTCTTCCACATTGGGAGGGCTTTCCTTCCTTCATTCATATTTTTAGAGACTACATTTATTTTCTCCATCTGGATCCTGCTTATCACAGAGATCCTGCAGGAAGGAAAGAAAGGCTTGGTGGGAGAGGTCAGGGAGTTGCTCTGGGCATGTACAGACTCTAAAAATGTTGGTGTGTATGTGTGGTGGAGAGGACTTGGCCATGACTGAGGCCAGGCTAGATGAACAGTGCTGGAGACAAATCAGGATCTGAAGTTGGTGCCACAATTCCCTGATTAGCTTAGGTGTCCACATGCTCCTCCCTATGGTCAGAGGTCTTGTGTGACCCTGAGATGTACAGGTGAGTGACTCCTGGGTCCTAGTCTTTTGGTCCTGGGGTTGATGCAACTATAGGTCTGCACCTATGAGAAGGCAGGAACCATTTCCTGGGGTTGCATCCTCATCTAGATGGAGAGAAAAGCTACACTGAACAGAGCCAGAGTGGCAGCAGGTGGCACCAGTTCTACAGAGCATTGTGTGCCTCCGTGATGTGACTAATTGCAGGGATAATGAGTCATTAGCCTTGCCACCTTCCCCAAGCGACTGCCAACACAGCCAGGCTGGGAGCTGGGGAGTGGCCACCTGACTTGGCCTCACCCGCCCTCCCAGCCAGCAGAGACACAGAGTTCTCTCAAGAGAGCAAGAGAACGGAGGCAGTCCTCCTGGCAATTACTTCAAGGAGGGAATGTTGAGAGAAGCCCAAACATCACACCCAGCCTCCTGCTCACCTCATGGTTCCTGAGTTCCTTCTGTGAAACCCAGGCAAGGTGCCAGGCCCTTTCTGGGGAGGAGAAATCCCTCTGACTCTCAACTTTCCAAGGGACCCACTATGCCAGGTGTTTTTGGCCTAGTTTCACTTACTCCTTTACCAGTAACTGTTGAAACCAGTGTTCTTTCCCATTCCCACAGTGGTGTCTGGCAAAAAATCAGCAAATGCAATGAAAAGAGTTATTGTACGCATTGTGTAGGTAAAATAATAATAGTAATGATAATAATAATTATTATCCTAAGGGGGCTTGTTGGAGGGGCTTCTTGAGCTCCAATGACACCCTGAAATTATGTGTAATTTGTGTATAAATTGTTGGTATGCTGTGGAATGCTTAGGTGAGTGTTTTGTTTTGTTTTTTTTTTTCTCAATAGGGGTCCATGGCTTTCAGTTGCTACAAAAAAGTACCCAACCCCAAAACCCCCTCTCCCAAAATTAAGAACCCTTGGTCTAAGACTTTATGTTAAGCAGAAAACCAAACATTTCTACTGAATGAAACTCAGAGATGGAAATATTAACCTCTCTCTCTCTCCTTCCCTTCTTCCTTTCTCTTTCTCTCTCTCTCTCTAATACACAAGTGACTATGACACTCAGAACTGCCTGAAGAACAATGGGCAACAATGTCTAACCCTGTTCTGAACTCACTCCCCAGGGAAGTGAGACAGAGAAGGGAGTCCACTTAAAGGCCTATGCTTATTTCCTCTCCCAACAGAAGGGCCAGGGCACCAAGCAGCCTCTAGGACCTTATTCCTCTTTCTATACCAGATCTGCCATCAGGACCCTTCCATGGTGGGAGTGGGTGGAGGCAACGGAGGAGATGCCCACAGAGATAAATCACCAAGTTGGCTGAGTCCATACCCCTGATGAGCTGTCTGGGCCCTGGGCCTCCAGTCATGGAGGCTTCAGGCCTCTATGTCCCAAGTGTGTACCAGCACTATCTGGATGGAATGCAAATTGACAGCCCTGACATCATTTGGCTAATTTCACATGAGAAAAACATGTACTAGTTAATAAAAACACTGGTTAGAGTGGAAAGGTTTGGGAAAATGAATTAAAATAGTTAGAGATATGACTTAACAAACATGATCCTCTCACTTCCTACTCTGGCTTTCCAGGGGCCTTTGGAGTTTGGACCAGATGAGCCTGGGGTACCCTTGCCACTGTCATGCATCTCATTCCACTGACAGAAAGGCTCAGAGAACTGCAGTTCTGAGTGGGCAGGAGCATAACTAAATTTAACTCCAGCACCTTGCTGTAAACACCCCTTTTTTCCACTGAAAAGTCTGATGCCATCTTCCCAACAAACGGCTGGGAACCACAGGTCCAGAAGAGCCCCTAGACTTACCAGCTCCTGATGTGCCCTCAAGCCTATTAAATCATGGAGCTTAACAAATGCTACCTGGGGCTGGAGACCACAGTGCTATTGGAATCCTATAGGGCCCCACCCTCAAGCGCTCATGATTTAATCATTCCAGTGGCCCAGTTCACAGTGGAGACTAGGGGACATAGATGGAAGGAGCGTGAGAAGTTGCTGAATCTGCTGGTGGGAGGACTGGATGGATAGACTTCTATTTGGCAATTTGATATTATCTGTCAATGTGGCAGATACCTTCTGACACGCAACCCCTATTTTTGGAATCTTTCTTACAGATATAACAGCATGACTACTTAGTTACATGTAATAGCAAATGACTGGAAACCATCCACATGCCCATCAATAGGGGTCAGGTTAAGTCAATATGGTATGTTCACACAGTAGAATCTTGTGCAACTCTAAAAAAAACAATGAGATACTCTCTAGGAACTAACAATGGAAAGCTTCCCCAAAGTAAGATGCAGTGGGGCACCCTTGGCTCATGCCGATAAGCCTACCTACTCAGGAGGCAGAGATCAGGAGGATCTTGGTTTGAAGCCAGCCCAGGCAAATATTTCATGAGATCCTATCTAGAAAAAATCCACTACAAAAATAGGGCTGGTGGAGTGACTCGAGGTATAGGCCCTGAGTACAAACCCTGATATTACAAAAAAAAAAAAGGAAGATGCAGGGCAGTACGACTGCATAGCATCTTTCAATTACAAAAATGGTGGGTGGGTGAAAATTACAATCTTTTTTATTAAGATTTTAAAAAAACTCCAGAAGAGTACATAACCTGGGCACTGGTACTCATGCCTGCAATCCTAGCTACTCAGGCAGCAGAGATTGGGAGGATCATGTTTGAAGCCAGTCCGGGCAAACAGTTTGTGAGACCCTATCTCGAAAATACCTAACACACACAGAAAAAGGCTGGTGGAGTGGCTCAAGGTATAGGCCCTGAGTTCAAGCCCTGGTACCACATACACACACAAAAAAAGGGTACATAAGATACAAAAGTGATAACCTGTGTGGGAACTGGTAAACAGAAGGGAAGTAGGTGAATGAGGGCAGGGAAAAGAGTAAGACATTAAGAGTACACCTTTTATATAGTTTTGATTTTAGAACCAGGTAAATATATTACCAGTTCAAAATAATAACTATAGTAATCTAATAGGAGACCATCAAGGGTTCCTAACATGAGATTATGGCAGAGATTTTCTCCAGACAAATAGGGTCTTCCAAATGGCTTGGTTCCCTAACCCTGGTGGTGCCTGCCTGGGGCAGCAGCTCATAACCTGAGCTGGCAGGGATCAGAGAAACCATTCCATAGGCTGGGAAAAGCGTAGGTCTCTCAGAGACTTACAAAAATAAACTGAAGCTATGGCTGCCAGGAAATGCAGGAGTGGGTGGGGAAGGGGTCCTCAATCAGCTAGAGGTTCTAAGAAATAAAGCAGAATCTGGGAGGCCCCCCCCCCTCCACATTCCACCTTGCCTCTCATGTACATATATATCTATATTTAAACCAGTGCTTAGCAGCTAAGTGGCCTGGATAAGCCCACTTAGTTCAGCCTGGTTACAGTAGGAACTATGGGGAGGGGTTGGGGATGGGAGGACAGTAGTGTGGCCAAGTGTAGCCGGCTCCCCCTACCGCTGGCTCAGTTTCATGTTTACTCTCGGCTGCCATCTGGGGGAGTTCAATCATGGCTGCCATAGAGAACCAGAGGGAGGAAGTGGGGGTAGAGCAGTCAGCCTCCAGTGTCATGGGGTTATTGGTTCAGGTCCCTGGAAAGAGGGCCGGTGCCAGTGGCTCATGCCTGTAATCCTAGCTACTTGGGAGGAACTATTTGCCACAGGGGTTCCTAACTGGAAAATGCCAATGCAGAAAATGGACTGGCGGAGAATGCCTGCCTAGCAAGTATGAGGCCCCTGAGTTCAAACACCAGTACCCCCAAACAAACAAACAAACAAACAAAAAAAGGGGGAATTTAGGGAGAGGTAGGTAGCTTTCTCCAGCTGCCAGAGGAGGAAGTTGGAGCTCTGCTGCAGCAGATGAAGCAGAAGGAACAAGGAGGTACCAGCAGGCCTCTCTCCTCCCTACTTTTTTCTTCTTTGATGGGCTGTTTCTTTTTGCTTGTTTGTTTTGTTAGCAGTACTGGAATTTGAACTCAGGGCCTCACACTTGCTAGGCGGGTGCTCTACCACTTGAGTCATGCTGCAGCCCTCCGACTGGCTCTTCCAACTCAAGGTCTGGTAATGACTGCCTCCACTCAGAACAAACATTTCTACTGTAACTAGTATGCATTTTTTTCTCAGCCCACATTGGTGATAT